AAGCGTAGTCCAACGATATATATATTTTTTGCTGCACTTTCCCTTCTTTGCTGCCTACCGCATAGGCCATAGCCAGTCCCGATTAACACCGGGGCGGGACTGACTTACCAACCACCGGCAGAAGGCCCGGGTGGGGATTTAAGGGTATTTAAAATAGCCTCCCCCGTGAGCCGGTTGCTATGACGTGCGTCTACCAAATTAGCTTGGCAGGGAATAACGCAAAGCTCGGCGGTGGGGTGGGGGGGGGGGCAACGTCTTTCACAAATTTGCGCTACGACACCCCTTTACCTCGTCCGTTTAAAATGTCCGAAGAGGTCCCGTTCGGCCACACCGCCCGAACGGGAAGTGACGAGGCGAGCGCCTATTTTAACAGCCCAGCCACAATTGCCACTAAAACTTTTTTTTTTTAAAAGATGCGTTGCGGCCAGCGCCACAGCGACGTCCCCTCGCGTTCACCACCAACGTTTATTTGGGAGCGGGAGCATGGACATCGAGAGTCTGACGTCCGAGGTGGAGAAGGAGCGATAAAATTGGCTCGTGCGCGCGGCCGCCAGGCGAAGTGTCGTATGGCGGAACCAAAAAAGAGACGGCTACGGCACGGCAGTGTCCTCTATCCGGCAGTGGATTGATCATAGCTGACGATGATGATAAGTGATTATGTCTAAGCGGATATACACAAACATATACAGTTGTCCCTCACTATAACGCGGTTCACCTTTCGCGGCCTCGCTGTTTCGCGGATTTTTTTCGGTGTAATTTTGCGTGCTTTTTTTTCCCTGCGTACAGTATGAACGCGCATTGTGTTCGGCGTCCTGATTGGCTAAGGGAGAACCGCACATGTGTTCTGCGTCCTGATTAGCTAAGGGAGTACAGAATGCGTTCGGCTAGCCAGATTTACAAAAATGTTTGGGCTTGAAAACAGGTTTTGATCTTTGGTTTCATTTACTAATATTGTACTTATTTTTTTAAATCTGCGAAAGTTGGAACTTTCAGAGTGTTTAAATAAGAGAGAAATGTGATAAAATGTGAATGCCTGTCTGAGAAAAGTGTATAAAAGTGTGTGGTTAGGGGTTTTACGGCCTTAAAACATGTATAATAATTGTAAAAAATAAAGATGATTACTTCGCGGATTTCGTCTATTGCGGGTTATTTTTAGAACGTATCCCCCGCGATAAATGAGGGACCACTGTACACAAGTAAAAACACATGAACCATCACGCCATTCCAAAATATAGCCGTTTGTAAACATGTCCCCATTAAGTACTGTATTTGATTACCGGAACAAGCTGCAAACCCCCAAGATGTTTGGTGATGCCGCTTTGTTAATCAGATTATCTAATCATCATAACTAATGTGCCAATTCCATGGGAATGTGGAATTTCCATCACTGGATCTAGGAGGCCAAACGAAACGAGTAATGCTCCAATTTGCTAATTGGCATACACCTAACCGCCCCCGTTGCCAATCCACGACTGGGTGCAGTTTGCGAGGGTGGATTTCGCCGGACAGCGCTCTCTGCTTGCGAACCAAAACAGCCTCTGCAAAGTCTTCTCGCAAAGCTGTTTTGTTTGTGGCCGGTGGTCGCCCTACCACGCCCCGTCCAAGCACGTTCCGGAGCACAAGCCTGCTTAGCTTCTTCCAGTGAGACTGGGTGCATTTCCGGGTGCACTGACGGAACATAACACATTACACACGCGCGCGCGCGCGCACACACACACACAGACACACAAGTGCTTGCCACAAATGAACCACAATCACCTTGCCGATCTCGTCAATGAGCATAAAACCATCGGGCGAACGAACTCCGGTCATCTGACAAAGACGGCGGTCACCGCAACGCGCGGCGCTTTCAGACGCGCTTCTGCGGCCGTCCGGAACGCTCTTCCTTCCGATATTAGGAAGCCAATGGAGCTAGGGACTTTTACATCTAGATTGAAAGCTAATTTCTTGAAAACTGCTTTTTGCGTTTTTAGTTTGCGGTCCTCCCCCCGCGACTCCGATTAGCAACGTTGGCTACGTTCAATTAAATGCAATTTCTCGAACTTTTCAATTTGTGCTATTAATGTAATTATTTCACCATAATATTCTGTAAATCTTAGAGAACATATAAAAAGACCTCACGTTAAATATTAACTTGGCCTTTTATTACGTAAAAAAAACCAGATTACTCCAAGTGCTCTGAGTAATGTAAACTATTATTATTATGATAGGACTGTGAGAAGAGTATGAATACCACAGCAGTCTCTTCAGAATCAGATTTTTTTTTTTATCCTGGAGAAATCCGATGTCCAGAAGTGGGTCGGTCAGAAAGTTACAACAACAACAAACAATACAAACAAAAACGATAGCAGTGCAAAGTACAGGAAAGGCAACTTCTCCACGAGTAATGAACATTACCTTCAAAGTGACAAGCCGTGCAGTGTTCGTAAGATTCTGAAAAGTCGAGTTTGCCTAACGAGCGAGTGACACCGTCTAAACAGAGACCCCACAGCACAAGGCAGATTCATACATGATTATTCACCAATTACTCCAGTGTATATAATTTCACACGTTTATAAATCACCTCACCTACCCCGAGGACATTGCAACGTACCCCCGGTTGAGAATCACCGGTGTAATGTATAGTATATTATGTAATGACTCGTGTATGATATGATTTCACATTTATAAAAGTCATCTCACTTACCCCCCCCCTGGGATATTGGCACGTACTCCCTCCCGGGTGAGAACCACTGGTGTAGTGTATAGTGTATTGTAAGGTGTATTGTAAGGTATAGTGTGTTGTAAGGTGTAGTGTAAGGTATAGTGTATTGTAAGGTGTAGTGTAAGGTATAGTGTATTGTAAGGTGTAGTGTAAGGTGTAGTGTATAGTGTATTGTAAGGTGTAGTGTAAGGTGTAGTGTATAGTGTATTGTAAGGTGTAGTGTAAGGTGTAGTGTATAGTGTATTGTAAGGTGTAGTGTAAGGTGTAGTGTATGGTGTATTGTAAGGTGTAGTGTATTGTAAGGTGTATTTTAAGGTGTAGTGTATAGTGTATTGTAAGGTGTAGTGTATAGTGTATTGTAAGGTGTACTGTAAGGTGTAGTGTATAGTGTATTGTAAGGTGTAGTGTAAGGTGTAGTGTATAGTGTATTGTAAGGTGAAGTGTAAGGTGTAGTGTATTGTAAGGTGTATTGTAAGTTATAGTGTATTGTAAGGTGTATTGTAAGGTATAGTGTATTGTAAGGTGTAGTGTAAGGTATAGTGTATTGTAAGGTGTAGTGTAAGGTGTAGTGTATAGTGTATTGTAAGGTGTAGTGTAAGGTGTAGTGTATAGTGTATTGTAAGGTGTAGTGTAAGGTGTAGTGTATAGTGTATTGTAAGGTGTAGTGTAAGGTGTAGTGTATAGTGTATTGTAAGGTGTAGTGTAAGGTGTAATGTAAGGTGTAGTGTATAGTGTAGTGTAAGGTGTAGTGTATAGTGTAGTGTATAGTGTATTGTAAGGTGCCGTGTATAGTACGTAATGATTCTCATGAACGATACAATTTCACACATTTATAAATCACCTCACACACCCCCCACGGGCAAGCGAACCCACGGCTGGAGGACCACTGGCTTTGTAGTAAGACCATATCCATGGCATTCCGCTCCTGCCACAACACGTGTGTAGCGGACTGTCCGGATAATAAAGACGCACTATCCCCACCCCACACTCCCATTCCTGTATTCTAAAGCAAAAATAAAGTTGTGGGGTGCGTCTTATAATCCGGTGTGTGCGTCACCCGTGGGGAGCGGTGGGTTAGCGGTTAGCGCGCTGCGCTACGCAACCCGAGTTCGATTCCCTCTCACGGCCAACGCCGGTGACGATTATTCAAACCGTTCCTGGGCCTTCCCTAGGTCTACTCAGCCTCAAATGAGTACCTGGCGCGGTTTCTGAGAAATGAGTACCTGGTGCGAGACAAAGGCGGCCGGGCGTGGTGCTGGCCACCCACGCCCTCGTGTGCCACAGTGCCGGCCTTCGAAGGTGCTCGCTCACGGCACTTGCCCCAACAGTCTGTTACCAGGCCATACGGGGGGATCTTTGCCTCTGCGTCACCCGATATATTTTTTTGTTGGCTTCAAAAACACTCGCCTAGCGCTGGCCCCCCGAAGCGGCCAGCAACAAACAGCGCTGTCAAAACTGTAATAAACGGTCGGGGAGAATTTAAAAAAATATGTTTGTAATGACTTTATTGACGCCGGGAGCAGAACGTCCGTCCACACCGGTGCGTCTAACTTTTTGGAGCGTCTTTTCTTAATAAAAAATAAATTTAAACACGCTTTAATGAAATGTACTTATAATGGAAGAAATCCATGACTCCAGGAAGAGGCCTCGAAGCTTGCCACAACGTAAGGGGAACCCGTGGTCAATTACAGCCAACGTGAGTTGACCGTGAACAATTAGACACAAGCCGAAACATAACGTATAAAAAATAATTCTAGATTTGATGCTTTCGTGACTGCAAAAATTCATACTCTTTGGTTCTATTCGGTAAAGTCACGTGACTTTACCGAATAGAACCAAAGAGTATATAAAATAATGTTTAAAAATATTTTTTTTTTATTTTTTTACGACAGAATATAGTATTGTCATCAGTATGACATAAGTATACCAAGTTTGCAGACGACACCACATTGGGAAGTGGGTTAAAATTGAGTTACAAGATTTGAGGATACAACAACAACAAGACAGAGCGAATTTTGATTTAAAGCTTTCGTGACTGCAGTAATTCATATTCTTAGTTCTTTCGGTAAAGTCACGTTATGCAAACCAACACACCTGAAGACGACCGTTTGTGTTATGGTCGAAACGTCGTGAGAATTTTTATTGTTTTATATATACTTTATTATTTTGTTGTTTCCCTTCAACGTGACTTTACCGAAAGAACTAAGAATAAGACAGAGCGAGTTAAAATAAAAGCATGTAAATGAAAGAGGGACTTCATGCGGCACTTGCACAGCCCCCGTGTGTGTGTCAATACCGCTGTTGGATGACTCTCTCCCTGCCCCGCCACGCCAATGTGCGCAGATCCGAGAGGGGGTGGGGCAGGCGTCAGTGCCGGTCTAAGTTAGTGCGGGGCCTGTAGGATATGTCATAAAGGAGCCATTAAATGAATGAAACAAATAAATATTAAAACACATGCAAATTTTACTTGCACGGCGAAGTTATTGTATTTTTTCATTCGCTATGCTATACGGCCAGATAATACGACAAATCGCTAACCTTAAATGCCCAGTCGTTCGTAAAAGTTGAAGGCGGTATAGTACTATATTGATATAGCAAGTGCAGAATCGGTTTAACACGTAGGCTTTCGCGACCAATATCATCCATAATAGAGGTTTTTTTGAGGTTAGATCACGTAAATATAGAAATGGTGGCGTTAAAACCCGCCACCACCCGACACAGCCAACTAGTAAGGGTTGTCAAGTAAACAGAACGTGGACAATTCGTCACTAATACAGCACTAACCGGTGTGTTGGAGAGCCAAGCCACAACATTTACAAACGGAGTACGACGTTTCGCCAGTAATGATGAATTCCCGACAACCCTTACTAGTTGGCCGTGTCGGGTTTTAACGACAAATTTATATATTTACGCGATCTAAACCAAAAACACCTCTATTATGGAAGTGCAGAAACAATGAACCGGAATTGATAGCTTGAAAGCATTTAGCGCGGGGAGCCCTTTAAAGTGCGGGGCCCGTAGCTACCACCCCACACGTGTGCTGTGGTCACCCCACACGTGTGCTGTGGTCACCACACACGTGTGCTGTGGTCACCACACACGTGTGCTGTGGTCACCACACACGTGTGCTGTGGCCACACCACACGTGTGGTGTGGCCACCCCACACGTGTGGTGTGGCCACACCACACGTGTGCTGGCCACCCCACACGTGTGGTGTGGCTAACACACCACATGTGTGCTGGCCACCCCACACGTGTGCGGGCCACCCCACACGTGTGCGGGCCACGCCACACGTGTGGTGTGGCTAACACACCACACGTGTGCTGGCCACCCCACACGTGTGCGGGCCACCCCACACGTGTGCGGGCCACCCCACACGTGTGCGGGCCACCCCACACGTGTGCGGGCCACCCCACACGTGTGCGGGCCACCCCACACGTGTGCGGGCCACCCCACACGTGTGCGGGCCACCCCACACGTGTGCGGGCCACGCCACACGTGTGGTGTGGCTAACACACCACATGTGTGCTGGCCACCCCACACGTGTGCGGGCCACCCCACACGTGTGCGGGCCACCCCACACGTGTGCGGGCCACCCCACACGTGCGCGGCTACTCCTTTTGCGACGAGGATCATCCGGCACTGGCAGGCCGTGAGGGTTACGTGATTTGACCACACTTCGCCAAATACGTCGGAGCATTGAGAGTACAGTACAACTCTGGCCGCTGTGGTTGTTGTTGTTCTTGTCGTGGCTGCTGCTGCCCGTAACGTTACCTAGAACAACCGAGGGATAACCCAGGAGGAGACGGAGCGATTTAAATCAGCTCGCGTGTGCACTGGGCGTGGGGGGGGGTGGGAGAGGATGTGAAGATGGCAGGATCGTGAAAGATTACGACGCCTTTTGTTGTTGTTAGTGGTGGTGGTGGGTGGTGGTGGTTGGGGGTGCCCTTCATCCAGCAGTGGATCGTTAATGGCCCACGGACTACGATCGTGATTCAGCACGAGACTCAAAATCGCTTCCCGACGAAATAAATAAACAAATCACAGCCACCACCCAAACCATCGCCATCATCGATAAATAATCATCACCATCAGCAGCAGCATCATCACGCCAACCGTGATTTAACCATTAAGCCATTTGCTAGCAACGTCGTCCTCGTCGTCATCATCATCATCGGCCATGCTCACTCCGCTGCTCGACGAAACTCTTCCCCCCCCCACCACCACCAACTTGACCGATGCACCACCGCTCGGAACTCAAAACCGAGTCGTGGGGGGGGTTTTCCATCGCTCCGTCTCCACGTCGTACGACGTTCCACAACCCCCCCCCCTCTCCTCCACTCCTCCATCAGTCCTCGCTATGTCAACTCCCGCCGTCAATAGCGACCACACCGGGGCACTCAAATTCATTCAGCAACACCACTACCCACACCTCCTTACACACACACACAACACAAATTCTGTCGCTCCATCTCCTACAGACGTACAAGCGATCTTCATCCCGTGTAGCCTTCGCAGACTGTCCCGGGGCGAGTGTTGTTAGCGAGCGCCTATTAAGGCCGGCACCGGCACGCGAAGATTGGGGCCGCGCGGGCGGTGGCGGTCAGCAAAAACCCGCCCGCCTTTGTCTCCCCAGTTGCCCGATGATGTTACAACACGCAGCTACGCATTGCAGGCCGAGTCGACCTAGGGGTGGTGGGCGGCGGGGGAGGCCCAGGACCACCGCTCCCCCCACACACACACAGAGAGAGCCGACACAAGCACGTCTACAATGGTCGCCCTCCCTCGTCCTCCTCCTCCTCGTCGTGTGGCCTCTAACAGACTGTTGGGGGCGAGTGCTGCGAGCGGGCAAGCAGCACCGCCTATGAAGGCCGGCACTGATGGGCCCCCCCCCACGACGACGACGCGGGGGGGGGGGGGGTGGCCAGCGACCACGCCCGACCGCCTTTGTCTCCCCGGCGGCGATGTCTCTCCTCCGCACCGCACCAAGGTAACTCGTTTTGAGGCCCGAGTTGACCTTTGAGGAAAGAACGCCCAGGGCCGTAAGCGGCGGTGACGCTGACACACGTGCAACAAAATAAAACGCCACCACCACCAACCAACCACCAACCAACCACATGGCAACCAGGGCAGCCCAGGGGCCTTTAAAGACTCACCGGGTGGAAGCAAGACGTCGACGGGCGATCACTTGCAACGGCACCGACTTGTTGAGAGACTAACAACAGCAACAACACACACAAAATAATAAAAACCAAACAACCCCAACGCCCCCGGTCGTGGCTCAAATTGGATTTTTTTTTTACTGCGAGGAGACGGTGGAGCGAAGCGTGGGGGTTGGGTTGTTGGTTTGAGAAGAGACAGGAGGAAGAGGATGATGAGGAGGAGGAGGGGAGCCTGTGTAGCAGTGGAGAGACGCAGGCTGTTGTGGAGAGGAGATGGGAGGTGGAGAGGCGTGCGGTGCGAACACGCCGCGGGCCCTCTCTATGCAACGCCGCAGCATCGCGAGCGCCGATTGGCCCGCGGCAGTTGTGGCGCGCGCGACCAATCGCGTGGCTCGAGGTGGGCGTGAGCAATTAGGCGAACAACAACAACTGCAACAACAGCGACCGCCATTCGCCGCTCAGTGGCGGTGACGTCACCACGACGCCTGTGCCAGGTGGACACAACCGCCCGCATCGACAGCAACAACAACGACAACAACAACGAAACCGCGCACGCTACCGCGTGCTGTGAAACAAATTTGCAGAGGAATAGTATTCATCTTCTTTGGTTCTTTCGGTAAAGTCACCACGTAGAATGAGAATAAAATAAAAAAAATAATGAAATGAAATAACACAATAAAATTCTCACGACGTTTCGGCCACAACACAGGTGGCCTTCATCAGGTGAAGGGACGAGACTGTCCGGAGGCCACTTGTGTTGTGGCCGAAACGTCGTGAGAATTTTATTGTTATTTTATTTTATTATTTTTATTTTATTTTATTCTCATTCTAGGTGGTGACTTTACCGAAAGAACCAAAGAAGATGAATCCTTGCAGTCACGAAAGCTTTAAATAGGAATAGTATTATTATTATTGCGTAAGGGGCCGTCCGTAAATGACGTCACGCGATTTTGAACGATTTTTGACCCAAAAAGTCAGACCCCCCCCCCCAAAAAATATGACGTCACAAAGCACTGCCCCCCCCCCCAACAAAAAAAATAAAACATGCTTCAAATCGCTTTAAACTATTGTCATTGTAGTGCGTATTTAATGTGGCGCTGCACTGATGTTGTCGGAGAAAACATTTATTAAAAAGTCTATTTAATTAAGTAGAACGTGTTGTCTATATTTATTTAAAGTTGCGCATTTTAATGTGACGTCACATTTCTCAAACCCCCCCTCGTCACACATCGTCACAAATGTCTGACCCCCCCGCCCCCCGAGGTGCGTGACGTCATTTTTGGACGGCGCCTAAGGTGACGTTTCGGGTGATGGCCCCTTCGATCGTGGGCGGGCAGGGTGGGGACACCAAGCGGTAGAACGCTCGTTTTTATTCTCTCTCGCAGACAGAACTTCCTGGGGAAGCGTCGTGATTTTTGTTATTTTATTTTTTACCTACGTGACTTTACCGAATAGAACCGAAGAGTATGGTTCCTGGGTTCGATTCGACACTCAGGCTCTGTAACGGGAAATGATGAATCGGCGACAGAATCAATAAATTACGGAAACATTCCATGAAACTATACGGAGTAACTGGGCGTGGCTTTGCCCAAATACGTTGTTCTTGCCCAAAAGAAATACCGTAACGGGAATCGACCGATTATTAACGACCCAACGCTCGATCAATGCTTGATCTATGCTCGATCACATAGACACACATATTAAACATGTCATAGCTTGATCATTCCTTGATCACATTAACACACGTATTTTATATCAAAGCTCAAGAGATGCTAGATCGGTGCTGAATCGGTGCTCGATTGGTGTTCAATCACAACTCGATCGGTGCTCTGTAGAGGTTCCTTTGGCCCTTTACCTCATGCAATATGAACACAAACACTAACTCATAATACATTTTTTTTTATTGAGTGGGTGTGACTTGTATCCTGCAATGCGGTGTGGATTTTGCATCGCGCGCTTTCAGATGTGCTTATGCGGCCGTCTGGAACGTTCTTCTGATATTCGGAATCCACTGGAGCGATGCACTTTAAAATCTATATGAAAACTCATTTCTTTAGAACTGCTTTTTGTGTTTAGTTTGTTGTCCTTCCGCACCTCCGATTAGCACGGTTGGCTGCGGAGCGAAATAAGTTCAACATACATACATAACTAATCACTGTGTGGTGTAATAATAATGGAAATACACGATACACCTGCTTCAGTGAATGCCAAAGATCCATCGACGTCATTCGCAAGAGTCGGCCATTGTGTGCCGGCAACAGGGTCCACATTGACTAAATTCCCAAATTCCCCGCAAATTACTCAATTGGCATTATGCACACATTAGCAATCACCCCCCCCCCCCCCCCCCCACTAACGAACTAATGCCCCAAAGTTCACTCTTGCACATGAGACTCATCCTGTTCTCTCGAGTTATCACCTGGTTAAGTTAATTAAACGAGTACTATTTATGTTTCTTAGCGTTTTTGAAATTAGGCGTTTCTCCCTTATCATGCTTATTAGAGGCAGCAGACCCGACAAAGGGGCTTTAGAGCGATGTACAGGAAAACAAAAAAACCTCTCTTTTTAAAAACTCCATGCTTCTCTGAGAAGTTTAACACGTGGTACGCTTTCGCGACCAATAAAAGATTTGTGGGTTAAATTGCGTAAATGTGTCGTTAAACCAGCCACCACCCGACAAAGCCAATTAGTAAGGTTTGTCACGTAATAAAAAAGTGCCAATTCGCTACAAGTTCAGCACACCGGTGTGTTCGGAGAGTAAACCCACGACATTTACCATTCGGGTTCGACGTTTCGCCAGTAACTACAACTGGCCTCATCAGGCGACAGCCAATGGTTCTCTAAGCACTTTGATACTTTCTCACTTTGTTGGGAGCATTTTAGCTTCTAACACTTGGCGTGCGTTAGTTTTCTCCGGACGTCGTAGTGTAGCATCCTCCCACAAGAGGAAAAAAAAAACCTAAAGTTAGTAAAAATAGGACTTGGCCAAAAAGGTATAAATAATGTCTTGAGATGCAAATGAAGGATTCTTCCGTAAGCAAATTATTGTTAAGTACAAAAGTTACGTAATTTAAATAAACACCAAATAATTAGTTAGTCACTGAATTGTTGGGGGGGAGTGGGGTCACATTTTGTAGGGGGAAAAACTGAAGTGTATAAGATAATAATGGATTAACGCATCAGTAACATTGCATTTTTTTTTAATAACTCCATCAGTATTCATATTCTACAAGCATATACATTAAACAAATGTAGGCTCCACATCAGTATTGTTTACATTGCACTGAAAATTACAACAAAGTGGCTGTACAATACGTACATCGTCAGAGCAATGTAGTTTATACAGCATTGTAGCCGAGAACCATAAAACGTAAGACAATGAATTTGCTGCATTGCAGAAACTGCACACAAAGATCCCGAATACAGCCTTAACAGCCTGTTGGGATAGGTGCTGTTAGCAGGCACCTATGAAGGCTGGCACGGCACACGAGGGGGTGGATGGCCAGCACCACGCCCGACCACCTTTGTCTCCCTAGTGACGATGTTTACATACCTCACCAGGTACTCATTTGAGGCTGAGAAGACATAGGGGAGGCCCAGGGCCGGTTCAGATTATCGTCACTGGTGTTGGCCATAAGCAGAAATCGAACTTGGATCGCTGGGTTCATCGCGCAGTATGCTAACCGCTGCACCACTGCTCCCTACATACCCACATATGCATGAACCTACCATCCAAAAAGGTTACACAAATCACTTGTCATTTGTACAATAGCACAATATAAAAAAATACGTGGAAGTTTTTACCAAACGAGGGAGCACATCTCACCGTTTTAAACATGAAACAAGACCATTTCGATATTGTGTGCACGTGTAATCTAAATACTATACTCTTAGTTTTTTTTCGGTAAAGTCACATAGGTAAAATAAAATAAAACAATTAAATCACGACGTTTCGGAGGCAACACAAGCTTCCGTCTTCAGGTGGAACAGTCACAGCAAGATCGCTGCATCAAGTGGTGAGGCTCTGAGAGCCTCGAGCTTAAATACAGGTTAAGGGGGGGGGGTAGAAGGAGCCAAGTAGTGAAGATTGATGGGGTGCGGAGCTAAGTTAATCCGTCTTTTGTTATGTTGAGGGTGCGGGGGATGCGGTGGATCACTGCACGGGGGCAATGGAAAAATGGAAACAAAAATGGAAAAGTTCAGAAAGAATATGCTGTGTTCTTATAAGGTAGCTAAAGTTTTGACTTGGTTCATGACATCTTTCCAGTGGTTGCTCAATTTAAAACCATCCTCTCGGTTGAAGTAGTGTCTATGTTTGTACATCTGGATGGCCTCGTGGACAAATCTTTGGTAATGAGGTTTGGATAGTACTTTGGTATCGGAGAAAACAATCTCATGAGAATCCGCTGTGTTGAGACAATGATCAGCTACGACCGACGAATTCGTTCTGCCGTGTTTCAAATCTGATTTGTGCTCGCGAATTCGGTCAGAAATGTCGTTTTGTCTCCCCGATATTTACCTACGTGACTTCACCGAAAAAAACAACGAATATGAATCCTTGCAGTCACGAAAGCTTCAAATCTAGAATCTAAATACTGTTTCTTAACGTGGCAAGCGGCTTTGATGATGCCTAAAACTCCCAACGCACAAATGACGAGATTACGAGACCCACCGTTCGCAATTCAATTGGTGCGGCTTTCACAATAGCCGCATTCAGGCTCGACAAAACGTACCGAATTACATAATTGGCCTTCATTTATTACGACACAAGCTGCTAAGTTCACTGTACAGCAAAGCGCGCGCGCGCCGTGAGCTGCTGTTGCTCCATTCCATTTGTCGACTGAAATCCGGTCCGCTGCTCGGGCCTGTTCTATATTAAACGTGCACACAATCTCGATTGCCACCTCTCCCAAATTACTACTTTTGTCCTCTTATCAAGGCAAGGGCTGTGTGACACACAGTGGTTTACCTTGAATGTGGGTCATACGCTGTTCGCAACTTTTAGATTAAGACCGGATTCGGAGCGGCTTAGCGACCAAATGCCTCTGTTTGGAATTAATGAAGGGGAACTTGGAATGCTGCCGTAAGTGTGAGCACAATGGACTTGCCATCCGCAAGTAGCCGCTCCGATTCGATCTCCTGACGTGGCAGTTAAAACAATAGGCTAGTTTATGAAATCCCCACTGCCTGTCCACCCAGATTCATAAATTGGTAGTCCACAGCAAGTCGCTTGTGGTGGGGTAAAATCGTGGGTCCGTCCTGCATTAACTCAAGACATCTGACCAATGTGGAACAGTAGGTCAAATACCCCCTAGAGGGGGGGACTTCCTTTCAGGGGTCCTTTCGCCAGCAGGGGTGCAAGCATTGTTTTTGTTGTAACTTTCTGAAAAGTCCCTGGTGGACATCTATGAAGAAGAGCTTCATAGCTCATCTGATTTCTTCAGGATAAAAATTATTATTCTGAAGAGAGACAGCTGTGGTTTTCATACTCTTCTGACAATCCTGCCACAATAATAGCTTACATTACTCGGAGCACTTAAAGTAATCTGCTTTTTTACATAATAAAATGCCAAGTATAAGTTAATGTGAGGTATTTTTTTAATATTGTCTAGGATTTGAAGAATATTATGGTGAAAGCATTACATTAATAGCACAAATTGAAAAGTTCAATAAATTGGATAAAGATTACGATGCCGAATCAAGCGATTGCTGGCCTGCCACCTTTTTCTTTGCACCTTACGGGGAACCACCATCTCGTTTACGAAAATCTCACGGACTGGTACGCGAGAATGTTCACGCGACAACCAATGACTACAAAAAATATAGATACAAACATTACAGCCATCGGTCATATCACCGCAGGACAAAGGCTTTGCCACACCGTGTCAGTCATGGGGCTTGTCTAACCATACCTCACCAAGCTTCTGAGTGTGGGTTGGTGAAGGACGGTAAACCAATGGTCACATTTCTTTATATATATAAAAAAAACAATTTGCACACGATTGTTGATTACGCAAAAACACCCCACAAATTTAACAACTCGAATGGAACTCTCACTACCCGCACAGCCTGCTCATATGACGAGAAAGACTCGCCGTGCCTGTCTGAATCAGGAGCCCCGAGCAGATCCGTTGACATCGAGAGAGCGCGAGGAAGACATGGAGCAAACCGCACGCGAGAACTACCCGCGGGTAGGATTCATCGCCGCGGGGATCAGGATTTGCAAAAACTGTGCCCGCAAGTGGAAGGCCGCTCCACTCGCGCATCGTCAGCACCGACGCTGGCGGAATCGCCGTGTGATGTTTTAATCAGATTTCGTTTTTGGAAAAGGCCGCCAAGTCCTTTGCCAATATACAGATTCTTTGTCAATCCACTGCTGCATAAACACCCCCGGCCCCACTCCCACGCTCTCCCCCACACCATTTCGATCACAATGCAAGCGTAGTCGCGTCGTATGAGCATTTCCCTCTAAAACTTTGACCGCGCGCGCACTTGTGCGGGAATGTTCATGAGATGGATTCACAAACTGTGGGCGTCTTCAATATTTGGAGCGAACTCCGGTTAGCGTGGGGGAAGAGAGCTTAAGAGAAGAAACGCTAAATACGAGGCCGAAACCAGAAGGACACGCACACTTCACGAGTTGCTGCGGGGAAAACGACTTTTCCACGTTGGTCAGTGAAGGGGTGGGTGCACCCCAGGACCGCTTTATATATGAGAATATTGATTCATACTTGAGCAATCCGATGAGCTATACAGCTCTTTTTCACAGATGTCCAGTAGGGTAATTCCACCCATAGCCGGCCAGATTCACAGTGCTGTGCGCTAACCTCCGTCCCGCCATTGGACCCATGTAGAATCATCGATCAAGTTCTTAACCAAATCTGGCCGGGGGTAGTTTGGTTCAGAGTGGTTGGTAAAAGCTTTAAATGCTACTTGTCGAACTGAAATAACTTAATTATCTTACCCTTAATGCAGCCACGGATTGCTTTCTTTAAAACAAGGCTGTAAACAATAAAATATAACGATGACACGTGCACACAATATTTAAAAATTGTGAGCTAACGCTGGAGTCTGCATCAGCTCATTGCCATCAAGAGCCATTCTATATGCGATAGAGAATGACACAATTTAAAGAAATAAAAATAAAAGTGGTTTATTTACATATTATTTTGCGTTACTTACAAATATGTAACACCTCACTGCATGTTGACACTTTGGAGAATAAGTCAAATTTTCCAAGTCAAATTATGCATTTATCTTCTGAAACAGATGTTCTGCACATGGTTAATGCACGTGTTTGTTTGGCAGTTACAGCAGAATTAGTTCAGCGAGTTTGCAAAACACTAAGGTAATTCATACGGATGGGCACATGTGCTAACCAGCGTGCTATTTTAATACATCAAGCATCGGTTATATTTCGTTGCACCGTGTAAAGTCCCACTCCTCTTGCAGTAACAATCCATCGTTGTGCTGCATATCCTCCGAGGTCTACGCTCTCCGCCTTCACCATTCCGCACTGACCTGCGGTCCGCACTATGGTCAAATAACCCCCATTATCTTCAGTGTGGGGGGGGGGGGGAGAGGCCCTCATCCAACAGTGGACTCACAAAAGGGACTGTGCATCTATAGGTGCACCTCCGATTAGCACGGTTGGCTACCTATGGTGCGAAAGAGATTCAACATACATACATACAGGTGGCCCTCTTAAATGCAGTATCACTGATTCTAACAATTACACTTTTGACAGTTTGGAAAGGTGTAAAGTGGTTGGTTCTTGTTGACAAAATGTTAATGTTCACGTCAAAGCCCGTATCACTGTTGATGCAGTACTTGAGCCCCTGGAAGTAGTAATGAGCTGAACCGGTTTCTCAAATGTAAGAAGTGTACCCGCGTACAGTCCTTTTGTTAACCCGCAGCTGGATGATAGCCGCCCCATAGCGTGCGGGTGGTGGGGGCTATTTGACCATACTTCTAACCACACTTGTCAGTGCAGGTTGGTGAACGTGGGGACATAGACGGCGGAGTACAGTACAATACGATATAACAATGGCTTTTGCTGCAAAGGCCTCACACATGAGTCTTTACCCAAGGCCATTCAGCCTCTGTTGTCTGCAACACCAACAAAGCACCACATGGGATAATCTACGTGAAAGAAACTAAATCAATTAAGGTTATCGAGGTAAGAATAAATGTGTGATTATAACAGAGGTACGAGGTGACCTATGTCCTGAGTCTTGTGGAATTTGCGACTGAAATTTTGACTTTTCTCCCATCCACGCAGTGAGAGGGGCAGCCACCGGGGGGGGCCCTACGAGTGGCTGGCGATGATGTTGAAGAAGTGGTAGACCTCTTCCTTGTCGAAGACGGCCACTTCCGTCTGGCACTCGTTGCACGTCACCGGGTAGTACTCCTCTTCCTCCGCCTCCTTCCCCGTGCCTCCCGCCACTGCGTGGAAGGTCCCGGCGTTGGCGGCAGCCTAGCGAAACAACGGCGAGGCCGTTGCGCGGAATCAGAACAGGCGACACGATCGGCCGATACGTACGGCCGTGAAACGTGGGACGTGAACTGAAGAGGGTGACGAGAGGACCGTGGTAGCATTTGAGATGCATGTTTTTCAAAGGGGTTGAGGAAAATCCAAGGGTATCACTGGCATGTTTGGTTTTTCGAGAGATCGTATTTTTTTATAGCGCGAGGCCATCGCTAAGGTGCAATGTGTCACAGACGAGTGCAGTCTATGAGTTGTTTTCACAGTCGGGGGGGGGGGGGGTGGTGATGTTGCCGTGTAATTTTAACCCGGGTCATTTGTAAGTAACTTATAAAAGAAGCCTACGTTGGACCATGACACCGGCACACGTTACGAATACCAAATTGGAAACAAGAACGCTATGGTAAAAATAAATATTTAACGAAAAAAATGAAAATTAAAACATTAATAAATAGAACTGCGATAAAAAAGTATACCTACTATAATCACCCAGCAATGTCTGTCCTTAATGCTCGTGACGTCACTCCACATAGACCAGCCCCCCTCATTAATAATCATGAACAGGTTACGTCCTCCACATGGAGCACCCTCCCCCCTCATTAATAATCATGAGCAGGTGACGTCACTCTACATCGAACAGCCCCCCTCATTAATAATCATGAAGAGGTGACGTCTTCCTATTGGACACCCCTCATGAATATTAATTAGCGGCTGACATCACTCCACATGGGGGGCCGAGGTGCCTCCTCCCCCCTCCTCGGCGTCAACTTACAACCCTCACTACAAAGGCAGAACCCTCACGTCACGCGATCGCCGTGACGCTATTGAGACATCAAAGTAAAAAGGACGTCATGATGAAATAGGTCTGTGTCACCGCGCCCTTACAAATTGCACACGAATTGATGCAATGGATATCACGTCGCGGTCCGCTTTTCGCTTGAAAGTTTCATATTTACTGCAATACACCCGTCCTTGGATGGGCAACAGGCTAGTATATAATAGGTGACATTTCAGACAACGGGCCATCTTCATGTAAGAGAAACGATCACTCTTGTTCTCTGCTGGATGAAGGCCATGCACAACAATGCATTTTCAAGTGAAGCCATCATCAATGGCCAAGGTGACAGCATGAAGGAATGAATTAATGGAGAGAATGAGTGAATGAGCCGCACCTCCTCAGTGCCGGTGGTCCCCTTCCGCCGCCTCTGCTTGCCCTTCCCGCGCGGCCGCGCCATGCGGTAGCGCAGCACCTCGGAGCGGTTCACCGTGCAGTTCAGGACAAACATCGCGCGGTACTGGTGACTGTACAGCTCATGCCTGGTGTGGCGGGTGGGGGAACACAACGGCCGGGCGCCACGGTGGAGAGATGTTAACTATCTCGCCTGGTATGCAGGAGGTCGTTGCTTCGATCCCAACCCTGACAGCTGCTGTATATTTGGAGTTTGCATGTCTCTCCCTGTGGTCGTGTGGATGATTTTTCTCTGGGTCCTCCGGTTTTAACCTCCACGTTTAGAAACATGACTGCTATAACTTTCCACATAATAAGCCACTTGGTTGAGCTATCATTTGTGGCCAGGTCGCATCTGAAAAAGAGCTATATAGCTAATTGGGCCTTACCTGGTAAAATAAAATAGTTAAGTTTAGTTTTATATGGTTTAGTTTCTTAGCTGACTCAACTCACAACATGGGTCTGCCCATAAATTAGTCTTACCAGCAAGCCATCAGCATTCCCACTCATGGCAAATGGGTCTGTACTGTTTTCTGTTATTAGCGGGAATTCACCACGCCACCCGTCACAGATCCACGTCTGTTCTGTGACCCGTTCACCAGCAAGCCTACACCATGCTCAGTGGCCTTTGACCGCTGTTGGAAACAATCAAAATTCATAGTGCGTGACAAATTGGAACAAGCTGACAAAAGCCAGTCGATTACGGGAGCCTTGTATTTGTCAGGAAATTATTAAGATTGCAATCCTTGTATCCAAATAATAAGAGATGTAAGGATACTCTGCATTTCACATGATCGTGAGATATTGACAAAAATACCGTTATGAGCAGATGCACCCATCTCCAACCCGCAACCAATAACTAAACAACGATCAGTATCTTTAGCCACCAACCTGTACTGCAGGACACGGTGTAAATGTGCAGGATGTGTGTAGTGTGCAGATTGCGTGCTGTGTGTGTAATGTACCGTGTGCGTGCTGTGTGTGCGTCCATACATTGTATGCGTGCTTTCTACGCGCGTGCTGTGTGGGCAGTCTGTGCTGTGTGTGCGTGCAGTGGGTGCATTGTGTGCGTGCTGTGTGTGCGTGCTGTGCATCCGTGTTGTGCGTCTGTGCAGTGCGTGCGTGCAATGCGTGCGTCCGTGCAGTGTGTCTGCAGTGTGTGCTGTGCGTGCGTGCAGTATGTGCTGTGCTCACGCGCGCATGCCGTGCATGCGTGCAGGGTGCAAGTGCAGGACGACCGTTGTCAGCGAACTCTGCGAGTTGGTGCACTCACCGCTGGCAGTCGAGGCACAGCGTGGTCATGCACGCGGGGCAGTTGAGCACAGCATCGCTGGAGGGAGTCTCCTCATCCGCTTTGCCGTCCGCCCTCCCGCTCTGCAGCCCGCGGTACCTGCGGCCCATGACATGATCCATAATAAAGGGTTTTTTTTTTTGGGTTAGATCGCGTAAATATAAATGCCGTTAAACCCGCCACTACCCGGCGCAGCCAATTAGTAAGGTTTGTCACTTAAAGTGCCAATTAGTTACAACTTCAGCACCACAGGTGTGTTGGAGAGTAGACCTACAACATTTACAATTCCGAATACTGTGACATGTCGCTGGCGATTGCAACCAGCGTCATCAGGCGATTAGCCAAAATTGTGAAGTCGTCTTCCTGTTTTGGTGTTAAATAGAGTAAAGGTGACGCTATCACTGTGAACCTATCAGGTACGAAGTCCAGAGGGGGGAGGGGGTAATGCAGTCATATAGATTACATGACATGGTGCGTATAAGCCTAATCACCAGCAAGAGGATACACCAAGGCCAAACATCTCAATCTTGCAAAATGTAACACGATAATGACCTTCGAGTCCAATTTACTTAATTTGTATGATCATTACATTTTAGCGTTGTGGATTTAACAATAATTTTCAGTCCTTTGTCAATGCTCTGCTAGACGAAGGTGGCGTGGGTAATTTTACAGCACTTTAGCATGCTGGTCAGTGCGGACTGAGGTAGGGAGAGGCCTACAACTGGTTCAGATATTGCTTGCTACTGATATTAGCTGCGTGGTGACGAATCAAACTCAGGTCCTGAGGTTCATAGCATAGTGGGCTAACCAATTGCACAAACTCTTGCCTGCCGTGCTGACGGTATGCTCCTCAAAGAGACATTTTGGGGAGGCTTAGTAAAATAAAATTGCGTCATAAAGCGTTACACAATATGGTTTGTTCATTTTGTCACCAAGCCAGGCCAGTGGTTTGTTTATATTCACGAGATGCGCTTCCAATCGTGCATTGTCGATAAGGAAAAGCGCCACGCCGCCAATGTGGGAATCATTGCAAGTTACGTGACTGTCACGAGGGTAAAGACTTGTGCATGGTACACATTCCACCAAACGTCACGCACGAGCTCACAGGTGGCTCCATACGGACAACGAACACAACGGTACGAGACGGCGGGGGGGCGGGGGGGGGGGGGACACACGCGTGCGTAAGCAGACTACATGGGTCACCGTGAAAAAAAATTCCCAAAAGGTCGTTAACAATTTTGCACAGGCAAGTCTTTCGCGGCCGCGGAGTCGCAGGCTTTGGCGTAATCCTATAAGGAGCGGAGGATCTCGTAAAGCTCGCCGTCTGGCTGCGGTAAACAGGCTCTGGGGTGTGCTCTGTGAGAGCCGAGTGTGAGGATGTCGCCCTGGCGGCTGCGAGCGCGTTGTAAATGTTGGGGATCATCGCACGGAACGCACACGATGCGCACCAGCACCCCCTGCTGTCGCTCTCTCTCTCGACAAAAACAACCAGCATTGAAATAATGAACTGAAGTATTTTTTTTATTTTAACGGGAGAGGCCCACTGAGCTATTTTTGTAAGCGACCTGGCCACAAATGATAGCGCAACGAAGTGGCTTATCACGTGGAAATGTATAGCAGCCAAATCCTCTCAATGCACGTTGATGATAAATGTTGAGAGAAAAACCGGATGACCTGGAGAAAAATCCACGCAACCACGGGGAGAACATGCAAACTCCTAATATACAACAGGGATCAGGGTCGAGATCAAACCGACCACCTCCTACATATCAGACGGGGGAATTCACATCTCTACAATGCAGTGCCGAGTTAAGGGTGGGAGCGAGCGATGATTGTGTGGGGCGAGCGATGGGCAAGTTTCTCTGACCGGCGACGCTGCTTGTCCACCCACTCCTGGTCGGCGTCGTCCATGCCCGGGTCGTACATGAGCTCATCGTTGGTAAGCACACGGCGCGACGCCTCCTTGCGCTTCTTCAGCTTTTTCTTCTTGCGGGCGCTCACACCTCCTACCGCCAGTCACCACCACAAGCACCGCCACCCACCATCATCAACGCTTACCCTAGCGAGAGAATCAAACGCACGCTTGGGTGTGTGCAGCTGCTGCTCCGTCACCGCCGGTCGCGTGCCCTCTCACCCTCAGTGGACTCTTCCTCCGAGCTCGTCTCAAAGTAAATGTCGTCGTAGAACTCGGGGTTCGTGGCGCTGGTGGCGTCGCCCGTCCCGGCCGAGGCTCCCGCTTGATTGCCGTCTCCATTTATCGCCGGCACCGCTGCGTGTCGATGTAATAAACAAATGAAGAGTACCGTGAATCAAGAATCAAGATACAGAGATGGCGCTAAGGGTGTTAAAGAAATTGAAGGCCCACACACTGTGCTCATACCATTACATTCTGAATATTGAACATTATTATTCTTTAAATTTTGATTTAAAGCTTTTGTGACTGCAGTAATTCATATTCTTAGTTCTTTCGGTAAAGTCACGTTGAAGGGAAACAACAACGTGACTTTACCAAAAGAACTAAGAATATTATTATTCTTTGTCAGGTGGGACAACCACAGCCTACTTCAGCAGTTTTTTCTTCCTGTGGTTGTTCCACCTGATGACGATTACTTGCGTTGCGATCGAAATGTCGTGATATATTATTATTCTTCTTCAAGACAAATCGAAAATATCACCATTGCATTTTATATTTTTGTTTCTTCAAGTCCAAGCTGAAGACCTTCCTTGTTTCCATTGCCAAACACATCCACAGCGCCTTGAGACGCGGTTGCGTTTAAACTGTTCATGAATTCCAAACTGTAGTGTAATTGTACAGTTTTCCAATGTTTATAGTAATAGGTTTTACCCTTTGAACTGGCACAAAAACTGACACCTTTATTCAAAGCATCATGTTTGCAATAACCACAACACAAGCAGTCAAAATGCAAACAAAAGAGACAACTCTGATAATAATATGCACTGTCCTTGAATTTGATTGGTCCACACCCGAGACGGCTTTTCTTAGAGCCTAGTCTCCACTGGTGTTGGACCAGAAGATGCCAAAAGGCGTACAACTCTAAAACAGCGCACTGTCAGAGTATTGAGGGCTCGGGGTGAGCATTTACATTATGAGACCTCCTTTGCCAGTAACAAGATATAGCAATAGGTTTTGCCCTTTTAACTGGCACAAAAACGGACACCTTTATTCAAGGCATCATGTCTGCAATAACCACAACACAAGCAGTCAAAATGCAAACAAAAGAGACAACTCAACATTTTCCAATGTTGTTTCTGGGTTGTACCTCGGGTTGTTCAGCATGACGCCCAACATATCGCTCCACGCAGTACAACCATAATATACTTAAGATAACTAACTATACAGCACAACTATGAAAAGCTATGCAGCAGTACTGTTATTACTCTTTGTTTTTTTTTCCGGTAAAGTCACGTAGTCACGAAAGCTTCAAATCTAGAAGTAATGTTATTATATTGTTATCTCTCTGTGTGTGTTCAATGCCCTGCAATAGGAGCCCAAACAGGCAGTCGCGCTCAGACAAAACGCTCACCGCAGAAATAGTTGCATTTGTACAATATATAAATCCACATTGTGTTGTATCGGCAGTGCCTTTGCTGAGGCAACATCTATCATCTGAAAAGTTGTGCATGGAAGAAGGGCTGTTGTCCAAAACACATCCCACATTTAGTTTCTTTAAAAGGCTGTGTGATTGATGAATGTGTTGAATTTTCTTTTTGACACGTGAGTTTGTGCACCACTGCCAATGTAGGGTCGCCCAATAAATAGTCAGAGGATGGTCCATTTAATGATGCGGACCGCTTTGCTTTAATTCCCATCGCCGGAATCCTCATTTTAAGAAAAAATCCTTACACCAATAGCACCCATGCGGCAAAACTATCACCGTACCATCACCACCGGCAGCGTGTGCGAGCACATACGTGGAGGCGCCCAGACGGCCGTGATCTCGCGCACGGTCGAGTCCAACTCCTTTGCCATCTCCTTGACGAAATCATCGTCGCTGGACGACTCGCTCTCGCCCGTGAGCACCTCGCGAATGAGGCGGCGCTTCCGCTTGGCCGGACCGTTCAGCAGGACGTCCACCTCGTCCTCCGAGCTACTGCGGTGGGGGGGGCGGGCGGGTGGGGCGCACGGAAAATTGTGGGCAACGGCTACATTGAAATACCGTAGCAAATTGTGGTCAATGTTAATTCGATGCAAGCCCACAGTGCATTATGGTCGATATGCCTATGATTAAATCCTGCCGAGTACCACTTTGGTCCCAGCACTTGGAGTTAGATTTTGCCTAAATATTATGCCGACAGTGCTATTAGTATCCATTCAGGACTCTTGTAAAGCAGGGCAACCCCCTTCATGTTAAGATTGTGATGCAAGGAAGCAGATACCACAGAGCTACCTATGAGATTCTTTCAAGTGACATGTGGGCCATGCGCTATGGGGCAGCCCTTTCAAATAACACGAAAAACTATTATTTTAATACTCAGCGATAAAATGAATCAATATTAAGGGCTGAATTACGGGGTTTTTTCAGTTACTGGTGACCACGCTGAGACCATCAACCGGCTACAATTGAGAACCTGGTTTTTATCGGCCAACATACCTTCTAGCGATGTGTCCTGCCCCAATCCCACTTAATTTATTTAACATGTGTAGTGATATAGTGCCATCCAACTGCTGTCCAGCAGCGGTAACTGCGGTGGACAGTTAGCGCACATGCCGTCGAGCACGGACACGGGTGTGCTGGTAGGGCGGAGGAACTGGGGCAAGGTTCACGGAAGAACTCATGGGGAGGCCCCTGAAACCCTCTGGTGGGTTCGAGAAGGGAGGCGTGGCTAGAGCGGAGACAGGTCGCGCCGAGTAGAATACAAGCAGCGGAGAGCGATAGCCCCGGGCTGCCTGTTCTGGGAGTGGACTCGTCTCGTCGTCGCTGTCGCCTTCGGCCGATAATTGCGCGGCCGGAGAGTAGCTGGCCGTCTCTGTCGATGCCATCGGTGCAACGCGGACAGGGTCGTGTCTATGTCGGGCTGTACGGCAGCGTGGTCGAGAGAGAGGAGGCCGGAGTTGGTGTGACGGGATAATAAAGAGAGACGGTGCCTGCTGCAACTACCTCGTCTCCGAGTGAGCGTGTGCGACGCACACCACACACACACACCGAGATAAAGGAGGACACTAAACATGTAACACAGAACGAGGGGAAGTCATCGGCATCGTTCGTTCGCGACAATCACGTCCTCGTCACCTCAGCTGGTTTTCCTCGTCATCGCTGGGCTCCTCCAGGTAGTCGTTGTGATCCCACAGACTCATGGTGAGGCCGGTGTCGTCACTGTTACGGCGATAAAAGTAAATAATTATAATTAGACTACAGTAACATGTGATAAGTAGCAGAGGGCGATCCATGCATAGATACTCCACTAAAATCACAACGAGAAACTTTGGAGAAAAAAACATTGTATTGCAAAGCCCGCTACACGTCTCCCACCAATCTCAATGGACGTATTAAATCGTTTAATACTTTCCTGTGCAAGATGGAGTATTTATTCACCATGTGTTGCAAAGAAGATAATAAAAAGAAAGCTGTCTCTGGTGTAGACCAATCAGTTTCAAAGACAATGCATCATATTATCAGTGTGTTTTTTTGTTTGCATTCTGACCACAAGTATTGTGGTTAATGCAGACATTGATTCCTTGTAAAAGGTTTCAGTTTGGTGTATTAACATCTTAACACGTGTTTTGTTGCCAGAAAAAAGGGGGAAACCTATTCTCAAGATAATAAAAACTAGTAAGGTACAGTGAGGGAAAAAAGTATTTGATCCCTTGCTGATTTTGTACGTTTGCCCACTGAAAAGAAATGATCAGTCTATAATTTTAATGGTACGTTTATTTGAACAGTGAGAGACAATAGCAACAAAAAAATCCAGAAAAACGCATGTCAGAAATGTTATAAATTGATTTGCATTTTAATGAGGGAAATAAGTATTTGACCCCTCTGCAAAACATGACTTAGTACTTGGTGGCAAAACCCTTGTTGGCAATCACAGAGGTCAGACGTTTCTTGTAGTCGGCCACCAGGTTTGCACACATCTCAGGAGGGATTTTGTCCCACTCCTCTTTGCAGATCTTCTCCAAGTCATTAAGATTTCGAGGCTGACGTTTGGCAACTTGAACCTTCAGCTCCCTCCACAGATTTTCTATGGGACAAATCGGCCAAGGCAACAAAGGAGTGGCTCAAGAAGAAGCACATTAAGGTCCTGGAGTGGCCTAGCCAGTCTCCAGACCTTAATCCCATAGAAAATCTGTGGAGGGAGCTGAAGGTTCGAGTTGCCAAACGTCAGTCTCGAAACCTTAATGACTTGGAGAAGATCTGCAAAGAGGAGTGGGACAAAATCCCTCCTGAGATGTGTGCAAACCTGGTGGCCAACTACAAGAAACGTCTGACCTCTGTGATTGCCAACAAGGGTTTTGCCACCAAGTACTAAGTCATATTTTGCAGAGGGGTCAAATACTTATTTCCCTCATTAAAATGCAAAACAATTTATAAAATTTTTGACATGCGTTTTTCTGGATTTTGTTGTTATTATGTCTCTCACTGTTCAAATAAACCTACCATTAAAATTATAGACTGATCATTTCTTTGTCAGTGGGCAAACGTACAAAATCAGCAGGGGATCAAATATTTTTTTCCCTCACTGTATCCATAAATACATCAAACTGTATTTGAATTAAATACGTGAAATTACGGGTTTTGAAAAAAAAATCACAATCCAGAGTGAAGCGGACCTCTCAAGTTGAAATAAGGAAAACCGTGGGGAGTGGCCAATTTGAGAGACCATCTAGCAGGGAGAAGAGAGAGAGAGGCTCGTTCTGTGCACTATAGCTGGCTGAGGACTGACACTACCTCCGTGACAGCCAGTGCAGGAGGGAGATACACATTGAATGCGTGGGAGACGCACATTGAATGCGTGGGAGATGCACATTGAATGCGTGGGAGATGCACATTGAATGCGTGGGAGATGCACATTGAATGCGTGGGAGACGCACACTGAATGCGTGGGAGATGCACATTGAATGCGTGGGAGAAGCACATTGAATGCGTGGGAGATGCACATTGAATGCGTGGGAGATGCACATTGAATGCGTGGGAGATGCACATTGAATGCGTGGGAGAAGCACATTGAATGCGTGGGAGATGCACAATGAATGCGTGGGAGCCGCACATTGAATGCGTGGGAGATGCACACTGAATGCGTGGGAGATGCACATTGAATGCGTGGGAGATGCACATTGAATGCGTGGGAGATGCACACTGAATGCGTGGGAGATGCACATTGAATGCGTGGGAGATGCACATTGAATGCGTGGGAGATGCACACTGAATGCGTGGGAGATGCACATTGAATGCGTGGGAGATGCACATTGAATGCGTGGGAGATGCACACTGAATGCGTGGGAGATGCACATTGAATGTGTGGGAGATGCACATTGAATGCGTGGGAGATGCACAATGAATGCATGGGAGACGCACATTGAATGCGTGGGAGACGCACATTGAATGCGTGGGAGATGCACACTGAATGCGTGGGAGATGCACATTGAATGTGTGGGAGATGCACATTGAATGTGTGGGAGACGCACATTGAATGCGTGGGAGACGCACATTGAATGCGTGGGAGATGCACATTGAATGCGTGGGAGACGCACATTGAATGTGTGGGAGACGCACATTGAATGCGTGGGAGACGCACATTGAATGTGTGGGAGACGCACACTGAATGTGTGGGAGACGCACATTGAATGCGTGGGAGACGCACATTGAATGCGCTCGAGTCTCACGGAGAAATGCGCGAGTCTGAGACTCAGATAAATGCGCAAAAGTCTCACTCGTGTGTGAGACTCGGGTGAACGTGTGAGCGGGGATCGGGTGAACGTGTGTGGGGGGGGGGGCTCGGGTGAACGTGTGAGCGGGGCTCGGGTGAACGTGTGAGGGGGGGCTAGGGTGAACGTGTGAGGGGGGGCTAGGGTGAACGTGTGAGCGGGGCTCGGGTGAACGTGTGAGGGGGGCTCGGGTGAACGTGTGAGGGGGGCTCGGGTGAACGTGTGTGTGAGACTCGGGTGAACGTGTGAGGGGGGCTCGGGTGAACGTGTGAGGGGGGGCTAGGGTGAACGTGTGAGGGGGGCTCGGGTGAACGTGTGAGGGGGGCTCGGGTGAACGTGTGAGCGGGGCTCGGGTGAACGTGTGTGAGACTCGGGTGAACGTGTGAGGGGGGCTCGGGTGAACGTGTGAGGGGGGCTCGGGTGAACGTGTGAGGGGGGGCTAGGGTGAACGTGTGAGGGGGGCTCGGGTGAACGTGTGAGGGGGGCTCGGGTGAACGTGTGAGGGGGGCTCGGGTGAACGTGTGAGCGGGGCTCGGGTGAACGTGTGTGTGAGACTCGGGTGAACGTGTGAGGGGGGCTCGGGTGAACGTGTGAGGGGGGGCAAGGGTGAACGTGTGAGGGGGGCTCGGGTGAACGTGTGAGCGGGGCTCGGGTGAACGTGTGAGGGGGGCTCGGGTGAACGTGTGAGGGGGGCTCGGGTGAACGTGTGTGTGAGACTCGGGTGAACGTGTGAGCGGGGGCTCGCCACGGTGAGTCTCGCTACGACTCCCGTCTCCTCACGCGCGTGAGGAGGCGGGAGTCGTAGCGAGCGGTGACCACCGAGGCCTGGGGCGAACGGGCATCGCTCTGCCCCCCCACGAGACGACCCCGCAGTGGCTAACGCGATCCGCGCGAGCCTTCGCACAGAACCCCTCCCCACCCCCCCACCCGACATTTCGTTCATAGAGATTCCCGCACGACGTTCACGATTGCTCGAAGGTCATCGGAACGACGACTGAAGCGACGAACGTGTTTGTCGCGACGGTCACTTTAAGAAGCTCGTTCAACTTACATCAACAGAGGCGTCCGCTTTGCGCTGGGTGGGGGTTGGGTAAAGCACCCACAATACACCGCGCGTCGCCACGTGACGACGCCCGCGACCGGAAGCGGATCGTAAGGGTCAACAGGAAGCGCCGATTCATCGGCTCTCCGTTGACAGGGGCGGAGCCACAGGGGGGGGGGGGGGGGGGGGCTGGAGGGGGCTTAGCCCCCCATAAAGTTTTTGGAAAGTCGGTAATCGGGATAAACCGGATATCTGGCTGCTGCAAAATGCTGCAGGCTGCCACCTTGTGCTGCCCTGCAGGCTGCTGCCACCTCGTGCTGCCCTGCAGGCTGCCACCTCGTGCTGCCCTGCAGGCTGCCACCTTGTGCTGCCCTGCAGGCTGCCACCTCGTGCTTCCCTGCAGGCTGCTGCCACCTCGTGCTGCCCTGCAGGCTGCCACCTCGTGCTGCCCTGCAGGCTGCCACCTTGTGCTGCCCTGCAGGCTGCCACCTTGTGCTGCCCTGCAGGCTGCTGCCACCTCGTGCTGCCCTGCAGGCTGCCACCTTGTGCTGCCCTGCAGGCTGCCACCTCGTGCTGCCCTGCAGGCTGCCACCTCGTGCTTCCCTGCAGGCTGCCACCTTGTGCTGCCCTGCAGGCTGCCACCTTGTGCTGCCCTGCAGGCTGCCACCTTGTGCTGCCACCTTGTGTGCTGCCCTGTAGGCTCCTTGAGCGGCAGCCTTTCGAACTTATCGAACTTAGCCACATCAGCGGCTCCGACCTATTAATAAACTCCGCGTTCAAATCCAATAAAATGTGTTTTATACATTTGTGGCGCCCATTGGAAAACATTACACTGGATATCTCAGAATATTGAAGTCAGCCCCCCCAAAGTCAAAATCCTGGCTCCGCCCCTGGTAAAAAAAAACAAACGTCGCTGGAAAGCTTCTTTGAAAAGGGGGAAAGACCCAATGATGAACCCCCCCCCGGTCCGTGAAAAAATTGGTCTTCCACGAAACCGGTCCCTGGTGCCAAAAAAGTTGGGGGCCGCTGCCCTAGAGCAGTGGTTCTTCTTAACCTGGGGGTGCAGCGTGCACCCCCTGGGGGTGCGAGATCCCCTTTCTGGGGATGAAGAGACCCGGCCAGATTATTTTAGAATGTAAATCGAAACACAAATTAAGCACGTTAGTAACAACTGCTTTGTTTCATCAAACCTGTGTATTCATTAACAAGATAAAAAAAAATTGTACGATTTAAAACCAAAGGAATAAAAGTTTAGAACCACTACTCTCGGTGTGGTGTTCCTTTCCTGGGCTGCCACTCATAATTGTGGGCCACCGGACATCATTCCTTCTAAGCGACGTGTCCTGCCCAAGCTCACTTCCTTGTCCTAGGTGAGAAAAAAAATATATGTCCGCATTGGAATGTTCTGGAATGCGTCTATGCGCCGTATGTTGAACCTACGCAGCCAACCGTGCTAATCGGAGGTGTTCCTCTGCGGTGTCAATGTTAGTTACAATTACGCATCTCTCAACGCTTCTTTGTGCGCTTTTCAATGTATTTACAAAACCCACATGAAGCTGGATCGTTTCCTTATTATTGTTATTTTTTTTGGCTGACAATCGAACAAAGACGGTCACCACATCGCGTGGCGCTTTCAGACGCGCTACTGCGGCCGTCTGGAACGCTCTTTCTTGCGATATTATGAAGCCACTGTACCTATTCACTTATAAATCTGCATCGGAAACTAATTTATTTCTAACTGCTTGTCTTGTTTAGTTTGTTGTCCTTTCTCCGGCACCTCCGATCAGCTCGGTTGGCCACGTGCAATGCGAAAGAAGTTCAACATGCATATATGTCTCATTTTTTTTCAAATGTCTCACCGGGGAGGCAAAAAGACAATAATACTAACGCGCAACACCGCCTGCAAGGCACCTGGAGATGCCTATCACTCTGCGGGCGGCTTTGCTATCTACAAGTGGTTTCGACCTGGGGTCAACGCAGCGAGTGCGCTTCTGCCGGAGGCGTCACGCTGGGTGAAAATTCCCCCTCGCTCTCTTCACGCCGTCCCAACAAATCAAGAGCACGGCACTCGGCACGGACTGTGCTGAGCACCCACCACCCACCCACCACCACCACCCACCCACCACCACCACCCACCCACCACCACCCACCCACCACCACCACCCACCCACCCACCACCACCACCACCCACCCACCACCACCCACCCACCACCACCACGCCTTGCTGCATGAAGACTCAGCGAACAACACTAGTCACGGGTTTTCAGCTGCCAGTGGGTGACGGGAGGTGAGGCTGTCAACGTCGAAGTGTTGCGTGCCAGCACGCCCACACAATGGACCCAAACTCAACGATGCAAACACCCACCCCACCCCACCCCCCCAAACAAAAACATGTTGCCATTACTGCATTGGTGCAAAAGCACAAAAACTCAAGTCGTTCGTCAACACTGCTCACAAAGGGGTGGAGAGGGGGGGTGGGGACAAAAACAGGTGACGTTTCGGGCAATCACCCCTCTTTATAACGTAACCATTTCTCCGCTATAAGGGTCATTGACCATAATCTCGGCAGTATTATTGACGGATGTGCCAAGTTTTGTCTGCTCTACTCAAGGATGGAAAATGTTCCATCACGCACATTCCCAAGAGCACTTGACCTGCTCCACAGCCTTTTTTTTTGTGTCAATCCACTGCTGGATGAGGGCCGCACCACGTCACGCAGGTCCTGTGGGTAATTTTGAACACGCTTTGTCACGCTGGTCAGTCCGGGTTGCTGAGGGCAGAGCACAGACATGGCAGCATCGGAGTAAAGATTTGGTGCAGAGCCCTCTACTCCCAACCACCCATCACAGCGCTGCAGCCGCCTACGATGAGCTGGCATGCGTGGCGTTCATTATACTGTACAGGTGAAATATCTGCTCAGCTTCTGGGACCTTGAACATTCCCTGCGATTTTGGCATGGGCAGCAAAACCCGTATGCGTGTATGTTATATACAACAATATATAACTAATAGTCAAAACTGCTATGATTTGGTATCAGTCATTTTAAATGTTGATGAGCGCAATGTATGCGCGATCAATGCTCCATTGCTTGAAACATTACTCGATACTAAGCGCACTGCAGTTTTATACATTTACAGGTGTCCCATAAGTGGTAAACTTGAGGCAATAACCACACATCGCTGCGTTGCCCACAGCGAAACAATACATTAAAGGAGTGTAACTCAAGTTTCCAACACGACCGTATTGCCAAATAGAGAATAGCCATCTACAAAAGTGTTACTAATTTGCCAAATCATAAACCAAGACTGATTCAAAACTCACAACACAGCAACATGACTAATGCTACACCAAGTTACTTTCTTTTTTATTGTCATTTAAAACATAACAAAAACATTACAGTAATGCTCTAAGATGCAAAATTACAGCCAGTACCCAAAACTGGATCAGACTGTCTGGAAAGCAGAAACGCACCGCACATTGCAGGCATGTCCACAGATATTTGGTATAATGACCGACACTTATGCACACATTGTTAAGTCGCTTCTGAGTGTAAGTGCCACACACTTGCATAGAACTCGGCTGGACTGATGACAAAAAAGGTGTTTCAATACTGAATGTTCCCTTTTTAAGCCCACGACAGAATTGTGGGTTGCAAAAATCGATCTGTAAATGTTGCAGGTGAAGGCATTAATAATCACAGGTCTATATTGAAAATACATTTCAGCCCGTATTGTATATACCCAAAACAGTTACTTATACGTATTCTAACATAGATTAATGTCATACATATTTACATTTACTTATATAACTAAACTACATGAGTAAGTTTGAAGAGCAGTAGCTCATTTTAAAAGTACTTATTTAACTGAAATACTTGTACGTCTACATTTTTTCAACCTACCATTGCCTCTTGAAAGGAAATATAGTTTTGCATTTCAAAATAGTTTTAACAAGTGTGCTTTTTTTTGCAACAAGAGACACTGCATTATTAATTTTCTACTGGTGTTACTGCCCCACCAACGAAAGGTTTGGTTGAAGGATAGCTGCACACCATTGGAGGAGGGTGGGTCACGAATAACGACCAGGCAGGAAAGTCCATCTCTCCACTTTAAATAGCATTTATTTTCGTCAATCTGCCCATTGGTCCTTTGAAGGAAACATTTCCAGCGGCATTGTCCCAGCAGGCAAATGCTAGACCGGTATCGACATTTTGGGTCTCATCAGTAGTCAGCCCTGTCAAGCAAATGACCAGACGTTACTGGCAACAATCATACATTTAAGATATAGTGCCCATCAAGGTCTACAGGGAAAAAAACGACCAATGGGCATTAACGTTTACTGTGGAGGACTTCCAATCGGTTCATTACTCATTTGGTTGAAGACAATACCTCGAAATAACATGCAGAGTTCATCGTATCCTACGGAGAATAGCTTGAAAGGTCGTTCCCTCCAATATGCTTTATCATTAACAGTGTAACAATAATGCATGGTCATTATAAACTATTGGCAAAGAGCATCAGGTACCGTAAAATGAACCAGTGTAGCTTATTTTAATATTTCAGCAGCTGTCGTGTTTATTTCGTGATTTCAGGACGAGACACTGATGAGTCATTTTATGACTCATCTTTGAATAACTAACGAGAATGCCATGTTAGCATACGTAACAACCACCTTACTACAACTTGGCAATTAAACACTTAACACGTAAAAAAAGGGCAAGCATAAATCTGGTGGGCTCTAAAGAAGTCATACACAACAGTTAATTAATCATGACCTAATGAGCATGTATGCTTCACCCACTTTGTATGTATAGTGGTCCATGTTCAGGGGCTGTCGTCTGCACAGCAATAATAACAAGAGTGCTTGTGGCGGCAGCTGCTGTATGCAAAACTATTGGGGCGTTTCAAGTGCAATTTCAGATTCTCACAGCCAATCGCGTGACATTTAAGTTCTCTTTGGGGAGACTTTGCTGTCCGTTCTGCACACTCAAGAGGTGGGAAAAATATTTTTTACTAGAAATGATAACTAAAATAGTGGGTTCACTGTGCAGACTTGGATGCATTTGGGATGTATTTACATGTACAGCCCTTTTTGTAAACCCACTGTTAGATGAGGGCCTTCCCTACGGGTTTTCGAACACTACTAATATTCTTGGTTCTTTCGGTAAAGTCACGTAGAAGGGAAACAATAAAATAATAAAAATATAAAATAACCGCCACTTTTTTCAAATTTTCTGTGGTTTTCACACCTGATGATGGGTTGCTTGTGTTGCAGTCGAAACGTCGTGATAATTTTATTGTTTTATATTTTTATTATTTTATTGTTTCCCTTCTACGTGACTTTACCGAAAGAACCAAGAATATGAATCCCTGCAGTCACGAAAGCTTTAAATCAAAATTTATGGTAGTCATGTCCGATTCACTTCGGAACTACCGATCCACTCGTCCTTGTGAAGAGGAATTGCTGAAGAGATGCACTCACTATTTTAAGTTGGATTAAATATATATGTTGTGATGCTGCGTTGGCACCAGTGCATACGCGCACAAATAACAAAAAACTCGCATTTGTAAATAACTCTGCCCTAAAAGGGAAAATATAAACAAGCAACGTTTCAGACAATGACCCTCATCCGTTACAATGAAGTGCTATTGCTCAAAACCTTGCATACCATGTTTCCTTTTAGGGCAGTCATTGACCTTTAAGTTGGGATACGTTTGGGCCACAAGCCTTGCGGTTAAAATCCACTGCTCGCGTGAATGTAATAAAATGGTACATCGATATAACCCTTACTCTCAGTAACTCTCTGTTATTTCTGTGCTAAGTTACCTAATGTGATTTCTACATTTCATGTTGTCATTATTCCAATTGTGCATAGATCATTTTTTAACAAACAAAAAATACATTTGCATAAACCATTCCAGGTAATCCTTGTACATAGCGTTGCATCTTTTTGACTTCCAGTAAGAAGGTGCATACAAGATCAACTTAATCATTTCTATCCACCCTTTCAAGGAAACCAATAACCACATATGTACAGATGGCAGCAAATCAAGTACATAAGCAATTTTAACTGGCCGCTGCGTTCTTGAGTAAATATCATGGGCTGAGTTGATTGGAAGGACACAATCGCTGATGTCTTTGAGAAGGGACATGGCACAGACACTGCAAATTATAGTGGCGTGTGTGCTGTGTATGCTTTCATGGTTGTACTGTACAGCTCTCTGGTATGTGTTTTGGGTTGCATTGCGTGTTGTTTGCCATGTCATATGTGTCCATCCATGGGCTGGAAGCTTCCTCAGGAACTGAAAGGAATTCAGTGCCTGAACAAGTAAAATTGGTTGCCTGCGCTGTTGGTTGCGTGGTTTAATTTAAGCCACAGAAAAAGGGGGACGCAGATTAGGACATTTGTTGAACTCCTGTGCGCTTATAATTTTTACTCTCTTGCATTTCCACCGTACACAATTCTAATATATGAATGCTATCATAATACGACTTCAAAATCGATAAATATGACCGAGGTGTGCCAATCTTTAAAGTTAATTACATATCAATTTAACACAACTGGCAAAAATATCACATTGTTCCATCAATTACAATGAGACCCTATACGAAAATCAGTTGGCATGACCCAGAAATGGAAGAATTTTTCTGTATTTTATTGCATTTACATTGGGAAAATACAGTAAACAAAACTTTTTTTTAACACTCTTTTCAGTGATGCTCGTCAGGATTTATAAACGTACAACGTGCCCTCATGTTGTGACACACAACGCTTGCGGAAGATACAAACAAATATTCGTTACTACTTGGTGGCTTCGAGCGTACATCCATCCATTGGTCCCCTAACAGTTCTGAAGCGCTGTCAGACTGTTGTTCAGCATCTGCAAACTGGCCTGTTCGAAACAGCACACGGCATTAAAATTCGGTAGTTCACGCACACTGTACTAACATAAAAAAACTAAAGCATGTTATATCTTACCATGCAAGGCCCACTTGAGCTATACAGCTATTTTGCAGAAGCGACCTGGCCACAAATGATAGCTCAACAAAGCGGCTTATCATCGCGTCGAAATGTATAGCAGCCAAATAGTCTGAACGCATGTTTCTGAGTTTGGAGGGAAAAACCGGATGACCCAGGGAGAACATGCAAACTCCAAATATACAGGCGTCAGGGTAGGGATCAAACCCGCGACCTCTTGCGTACCAGGCGAGGTAGTTAAGATTGCTGCTTCTGTTCAGTGTATATACAGCACTGAACATCCATATAATCGGTGGATATTCTGTATGCATGTATCTTTGTCCAGATAACTTCTCCCAGACCGCTGCAGCAATTATAATGAATGGGGAGTCATTTGAAAGCTTATATGTAGTTTATGCAGAAGAGGCCCGAGATTAACAAAATAAATACTTATGTATGACCTGATAATTTGGTTTATCCACTTCAGCATTTGAAACAGCATGGCACGTGAGGAGCCCCATTCAAAAATCAAGTCGGCGTGTTCACGAGAGCAGTGGGTAGCAGCTCATCTCCACTGGTGGCCCTGAGGCCATTGTTGGATATTCCACATTCCTACGTAGGGGGCCAGATAATCCACAAGGATGACCACCGTTAACTTCCAACAAAGTGAGAGTCAATTTGTTGACCCAAGAAAAAGTGATCGGGCGAGTTGAATTTATCTCATGGCCTTTCAACAGTGGGTAAGGTGCACTGACCATGCCACGTGAGGTCAGACTGCCGTCACGTGTGACCGTCATTTTGTTTAGGTATTACGGCCATCACGCTTCTGTCATGTCTCCCGTCATAAGTTTCATCCCACGGAACAGGAAATCCTCAAAAGAATGATTACTGCACATCTGAGAAAAATATCTTCAAAGCACATCGGATTTCTCTAGGATAAAATAAAGATTATGCTTCTGACTTGCATTTACAGGGTGCTTAAAACACTTCATCATCTCAAGAGTGCCTTGCATCATAATCTCATCTCAACCATGCCAAGGCCCTGCAGAAGACTGGCTTAGGGGACCCCAGGTGGTGACCACCATAAGACAACACCCGTCTGGGTAAAGTCTGCCAGTGTTTGTATCGTCTGCCCATGTTTCTATCGTCTGCCCATGTTTCTATCGTCTGATGTCGTCGCCATACCTTGGCGTGCTTCAGCTCCAGCTCGGCCATCTCCACGAGGTTTTTGCGGAACGCTGCCACTCGCCTCATCTTGAAGTCCATCAGTTCTGAAACACCGTAATAAAATGCAGGTCAAACGTGCCCATCTCTGAATGAAGTTCTCACCAAACCATGGCCAACATTTCCCATCCTGCAATGCAACGATCCATCTAGACGCTGCCGATTAAACCGGATTTAGTTAAAATTAATCCCTTCGGGGGGGGAGGGCTTCTCATTTGCAAGGGTGTAATAGTTGCAAACTTTGCCAACAAGACAACAAGAATTTTTATTTAAAGCTTTCGTGACTGCAGTAATTCATATTCTTAGCTCTTTCGGTAAAGACTTTACCGAAAGAGCTAAGAATAAGACAACAAGAGTTGTGCAATTTAAAGATTGGTGGCACATGTTAAAGAGAATTTGGCTGAAGTAAATTTCCGCATAAGCCACTTGGTTAAACTTTAATCTGTGGCCAGGTTGCTTCTGAACAATAGCTATATAGCTCAGTGCGCCTTATCCTGGTAAAATAAAAATAGTAAAAAATTTACATAGATTTAATCGATCCTTCTGAGCAGTGTATACCCACTCGGGCATATTTTTTTTCCTTTGGGCCCCCCATACCATTGTTAGTTTGAACCACCAGCCATTATTCCGCTTAGAGAACTTATCCTGCACAAGCCCATTTACTTTTTTTTGTTTAACAGTGAATACGATTGCTCTAACGCAGGGGTCGGGAACCTTTTTGACTAAAAGAGCCATGAAAGCAAAAAATTTGGAAATTTATTTCAGTGAGAGCCATATAATATATTTTAAAAGTGAATTCAACTAAATGTCAGTATAATAAGCCTCTGAATTTATTCTTTTAAATAATGTTGTTATAACACTCACCATTAATGCGACTTCTGGTGCTGCATGGATTTGCTGATGTCTTTGTAGTCGGGTTGGTACTTGGTGAGGTTAAGCTTCATGCAAGCGTTGAGGCTTTCATCCGTTAAACGTGATCGTAGGTTGGACTTGATGTTTTTAAGATGTGAGAATGACTGCTCACATGCATACGTAGATCCAAACATGGTCAATACAGCAATACTCACACGCTGCAGTGTGTGGTATGTGACAGGAAGCGCGTTCCAAGTTTTGAGAATCAGCTGGTGTTCGGGTTGGAGTTTTTTCATTTCTGTCCACATGTGCTTGCTCGCCAACTCCGCTTTCTGTCGTGTGATTCTTTCCAAATCTTCATTCAGTGACTTGAACTTATTCACCCACATGTCTGAGGCCTTCAGGTCAGCCACTTCTGCTTCAAAATCTCTGACGGAGACACCAGGGATGTAATTCAGGTCGGCTGTGTTCAGTGAACACTCGTTTGGATGGGTGATGAACTTAAAAAGACGAGTGTGCTCACGAAATTCTCCAAAGCGTGCTTTGAAGGACTGTAGGAGACTGGATGTGCAGCCAGCTAGCTGGTGGAGATCAAGGTTTTGAATGGGCTCACTTGCTGTGCATGCATCTTTAAATTGGCTCAGTTTTTCAAAATGTAGTAAACGACCTGTTTCAAGATCCGTGATGAAAAGCTCCAGCTTGTTTTCAAAAGCAAATACAGCTTGTTGAAGGGATAACACTGTATTTCCAATGCCTTGCATTTTCACGTTGAGCTGGTTCAGATGTTCAGTCAGATCTACGAGATAGTAAAACTTGAGGAGCCACTCGGTGTCGGCTAGCTCAGGATGCCCAACGCCTTTCATTTCAAGGAAAGTCCGGATTTCGTTCAGGCAAGCCGCAAAACGGCTAAGCACCTTCCCTCTTGACAACCAACGCACATTGCTGTGCAAAAGCAGACCAGGATAGTTATTTACAACTTCATCCAGCAGTGTTTTAAACTGGCGATAATTTAAGGCTCGGGCAACAATAAAGTTGATCACACGAATGACCAGCGACATCACTTCGCCAAACTGCCTGTCACACATCTGAGCACAAAGTGCATCCTGGTTTATAATGCAATGGAAACTTAGGATGGGTCTATTTTCATGTTCACGGAGAAGCGCCACAAATCCTTTGTTTTTCCCCACCATACACGGAGCACCATCAGTACACACTGAGAGAAGTTTATCCATAGGTAGACTTTTTTCTTGAGCAAACTCCATGAAAGACTTGAATAAATCCTCACCTCTTGTGGACCCTTTTAATGGCAGAACAGCAAGACTTTCTTCGCGCAGTGTGTCACCAACAGCATATCTTGCAATCACGCTGAACTGCGACAAATGGCTCACGTCTGTTGACTCATCCAAAGCCAGAGAAAAGAACGGCGCTGCATTTATGTCCTTCACTTGCGTTTCCTCCACTTTGTTTGCCATCACGATGGTACGATCATGAACAGTTCTTGCCGACAGAGGCATGTCTTGTATCCGTTTGATTATCTTGTCTTTGTTCGGAAGATCATCAAAAAGTTCATTGGCTACATCCAGCATGAACGTTTTAGCATACTCGCCATCTGTGAATGGTTTTCCGTTCCTCACTATTGCTAAAGAACCAGCAAAGCTAGCCGAATTATAGTCACCTTGCCGGGTCCATACGCGGAGTTGCTGCTGGCTAGCTTGCACCCTGCTCAGAAGCTCTTGGCACGCTTTCTTTCTGCTGTCTCCCGCAGGGTATTTTGATGCAAAGGTAGCGTGGCGCGTGTCGAAGTGCCGCTTTACATTCGACCGTTTCAACGGTGTAATTTTGTCATTGCAAATTAGACACACCGCAGAACCCGCTCTCTCCACAAAGGCGAATTCTTCGGTCCATTCGTCCTGAAATGTACGATACTCGTCGTCTTTTTTTCTTTTCGCCATCTTCTTCGTCGAAGGGTTAGCTTTGAGCTAATGACCGAGCAGACGCAGTCTCAGACTGATTCAAAAGGGGGCGTTTAACTGTTTTACCCAGCAACGGCAAACGTAGGCCAGTATCATCCAATTAAAATAATGGACAATTGCTCCTGCAGCCCTGAACAGGACATGCGCAGTGAAAAATCGATGGATGGATTAAAACAAGTGAGAATATTTTGTTTTATCTGCGAGCCATATGCAATCATCAAAAGAGCCACATCTGGCTCGCGAGCCATAGGTTCCCGACCCCTGCTCTAACGTATGCCAATTGTTTAATCTCATGTTCCTCTGTCTCTCAGTGTAATTCTCAGCATGCATTGCACCATGCTTCCATGGTAGGCCATGTGCAGGAATTAAAAAAAAAAACATTATTCATAAGGAAAATTGCCATGACTGTTCAATATCATATTTAGCATTCCAAAAATCACACTAACATACTTTATTTTTTTTAATTTTGATTCCAGTCCACCTCCAACAGCTGTCCTATGTGAAACTATGTTGCTGTGTCTTCCCGTTGTGCGATGGGAAACCAAATGGCAACGATCCAAGTGCTGCAGATACTACGACCACTATTTTTATTGAGCTATACAGCTATTTTACAGAAGCGACCAGGCCACAATTAGTAGCTCAAAGAAGTGGCTTATCACGTGAGAATTTATAGTAGCCAAATACTCTAAACCCACGCCGATTCTAAATGCGGAGGGAAAAACAGGAGGACGCGGAGAAAAAATCCACGCGATCATGGGGAGAGAGGACATGCAAACTCCAAATACACAACAAGCGGCGTCAGGATTGGGATCGAACCCACGACCTCCCGCACATCAGGCGAGGGAGCTAACATCTCGCCAGGCGTGTACCCTGTCGCGCCGACGTGGAGAGGCTGTCGAACTTGTGCATGGCGAGCTTCTGCTGCATCTCCGCCTGCTGCACGTCCTTGCCCTTGGCACGCGCCTTGTCCAGGGCCCTGCCGGTATTCTCAGCGTCCACGAGCGAGCGCGCGCGCCGGTACAGCAGGTCCTGGCAAAGACGTTAACAACGGTCGTTTGGTGACCTCACCACAGCGTTCGTGGCAGGCTAGGTGCACTTTGAGGCCATGTGAAAGTGTTGAATAAACTGAAAACTATAAAACTTTTTTTATTTTACCAGGTAAGGCCCACTGAGCTATATAGCTCTTTTCAGAAGCGACCCGGCCACAAATGACAGCTCAACGAAGTGGCTTACCACGTGGAAATGTATTGTAGACAAATACATGCGTCACCTGTATGCCAGCGAACCATCGCTTGCTGGCAGGCGATGGGACACACAGATCAGGGTGTTCTGGGTCAACAGATTGAGATGACTGGCAGATGCCCTCTTGACTGTGTTCACACACCATTCAGCAATACAAAATGTTGGGGCAAGTACTGTTAGCGAATATCTATTTGCTGTGTTTGAGTTTATGTACCTGTTTTTTAATGTGCCAGCGAGAGTCACTGATGATGTGACTGCCGAAAAAAGTTTCCAAAAAACTTTGACATGCAGGTGTCTGCAGAGGTGTTATATAAAATCGTTAAAAACATTGGAAGTCAAATAGCCTGCCCTTGCAAAAAAACTGTCACCAGGGTCTTGGAGATCCACTTAATAGTAAAACCAATCGCAATGTACTAAGGAGAAATGCTTGGCTTATGCATTTCGCTAATGAAGGGTTGGTTAAATGTGACACCACTGCTTACCTTGGCTGCTTGGGTTTCCCGGACGTAGTATCGCAGGAGATCGGTGAGCTTGAGGTCTTGGTCTGACGCCACCCTGCCCTGCTGCTTCTGCAAGTAGACAAAAGCAGCTCCCTCTCTTACTGTAATCGTTAACCTATTGTGGGAAACACTCCAAACCAGCCATGAGCAGATTATGGGGCCATCTTTATTGTTACACTTGGTCACCTTGATCTGGATCATTGGTTGATGCCAGTTTTGAGATGATTTAGGCTGAGCTGACCCAGAGAACAGGTTTACACGAGGTTTCAGAAATTAATTATTAAAAATGGCATTGGCCCTATGACCAAATCACCCAGAATGTGCCGATCTCATCAGCTGTGAGAAATTTAGAAGAATTGAGCCTGGACAGTTCTGGGATGAATGACCACCATGCACAATTACATTAGGCTGCTGCAGGGCTACACTGTAAGCAGAGGGCAGTACACAAATATATTTGTGTACTGGACCATACTTTTATCTCTGCTCTCCGCCTTCACAAATCTGCACTGACGAGTTCAACATGTCGGCTTCCCCGACCAATATCCATAAAACAGGTTTTTTGGGCTATGTGGCATAAATATATAAATGTGTCGTTAAACCCACCACCACCCGACACAGCCAATGAGTAAGGTTTGTCACGTGAAACAGAACGTGCCAATTCGTTACTAGTACAGCACATTGGTGTCTTGGAGAGCAAAGCCACAACATTTACAATCTGAGTTCGACGTCTCGCCAGTAATTACAACTAGCTTCATCAGGCAACACACCGGTGTGCTGTACTTGTAACGAATTGGTATGTTCTGTTTAAGTGACAAACCTTACTAATTGGCTGTGTCGGGTGGTGGCAGGTTGAACGACATTTATATATTAACGCAATCTAACCCAAAAAAAACCTGTATTATGCACTGACCAGTGTGACGAAGTATAATCAAATAACCCCCATGGTAAGGGAATGCCCCCCTCATCAAACAGTGGATTGACAAATGGGCTGCACATGTACCTGTAAACGGCTATGGCTGGGAAGAGAACTTATTTTGATGGCATCATCGCACACAATGCAGTTTAAATTGACCACAATGCCATCTTAGCAATATGACATGAACTATTTTATCACCACCACCACTATCATACATTGTTATCAACAATCACAATTCACATCAAACCCACCACAATCATAAATAATAAGTACAAAAAAACTGCAGGAGAAAATATATGTACTGTTGAATGGAAATCAAAGACGTACGAATTAAACAAAAAAAATAATGGCGTTACTTACGCGGTACTTCTCAAACATGTCTGACGACAGCTGTAAAAATCTATTTGTTAAAGAAACAGAAAGTGGAAATAAAGTCAGCGTTGTAACACTCTTAAGAGAAATAAATCAACGCGATTACTTTCACGCCCAGCATTTACGCGCAGTAATGAAGGCGAGGTAAATTCACTCAATATTCACCTGCTTAGCTTGGAATACTCCTGCTCCCCAATGTTGTAGAGCCACGTGGAGATGCCAATGTAATCTTCAGAAACATCTATCGAACAAATGGTACATTTGTAAAATTAGACAATGGTAACCATACTAAAGGAAACAAATGTATACACTCAAAATTCCAAGTGGTGCCGCAAACATTAGCCCGTTGTGCTGTAAACCCAGAGGGGCCTGAGTTTGATTCCCGCCCACAGTTAACATCAGTGGGGGAGTTATATCTGAACCCCTCCTGGGACCAACCCTGCCATTTAATGAACGCACACTAACCAGTGAGCTGCAGTAAGGTCAACCTCGATGCCCGACAGGGCTTCAACCAACAGTGGACCGACAGATGGCTATAAATATTATTAGGGATTATACAAAAACCTGATACCACGACCAGTGTGTATATATGTGCCCTGACATTGCCGTAATGAAATTCTACGATGTCAAAGATGTTCCACATTCTCCGAATTATAAGATGCATCCGCCCCACATTTTAAAGTAAAAGTTAGGGGTTGCATCCTACTCCAGTAGAAGGTGGTGTGCATGTGACCAGGCTTTTGTAACTTTTCTGACACTGGACGCAAGTTTGGGATGTCTTACTTTCCAGAGCATCGGCGAATAAGGTAGCAATCATGCGATGCACCGCACAGCAGTAAAACATGCAAGTGTACATACAGTGAGTAATGCACAACGGCAGGCATAGAGCAGCGAATGTTTAAAGTGTCTTGTATGTGGGCTTTCATGACCAATGTTACGTTGTTTCTTTTGTGTCGGACCATGTCGGTATATTGCCATTCAATAACTAGAACCTGTTCACCACCCAGCAAAATGTCACGTGGGCAAATATGCGAAATTATTTGGTTTATTAGTAAAATGACAATGCTGAAAGGCAAGCAACATTTTGATAATGTATACAGCAAACCCTTGTTAATTTTACACAAATGGGGCTCTGGCCTTGCCGAATTATCCAATATTCCGAATTATATACAACGGTACTCCCCAGTGCCTCCTGCCCCCAAAAAAATCTTCGCACACCAGATGCAGTGACACACTCTGCATCAATTATATCCAAATCTTTGGATTTGTCTCACAGACTGAGGGATTTATACTAGTCCCTTTCTACTACTTCTTGATGTAGGTGTAGACGACATTTCTGAGAGGGTTGGCTTGCACAGTGCATCAACAATGTAAAGTGCAAAGCAACGGGTCTGCACTGACGCTTACCACGTATGCCGCCACCAGACTACGTCATTTTTTTGGTCGTGGCGACGGCGTCGCTCCACGTGTATGCCGAAATTGTACCATTCAGTACGGCAATTTGGCTCGTGGCGAATTACGAATACTGTATCTATGCCGAAAACGCAGGCGTGCCGAAATATCCCCAATTATGAATGATCAAATACCGAAATAACGAGGTTTTACTGTAAATATATTTTATTGTGATACTTGTAACAAGAATAATTTTAAAACTCAAGGCTGAATGTTTATTACCTTTGTAATCAAATCAAATCAATCACTCAATTAATTGGCAAAATGTTGCTGACTAAACATTCCAGTTTTTCTTAGAAACAAAACTAATATGCATATTTGCCCATGTGACAACTTTATTTGTTTGGCTCTATTGCTGGGCGGTGGAGGGTTAAAGTTAAAGATTGGCATTATACCTACATGATGATCTTACCCAGGGGTTAGTAAACCCGGAGCCCCATGCAGCTCTTTAAGGCTGCTTCCGTGACGTTATTTATTAATTCGAAGAAAAAAAAACATCTCTTCTCGTTTCTAGAAGATGGTTTCAAATTAAGCAACCATTGGAAAGATGTTCTAAATCGAACCAAACATTAAACTAATTTTCAATGGTACAGTATATTTTCATCATAAGTCCGCCAATTAAAATTTTTCAAGTAGTGGTACCCCAAACTTTCGCAGCACATGCGGGTGCATGTGCACCCGCATGTTCACCCTCTCTACACCTTTCATCATGCTAAGTCCGCCAATTAAATGCTAATTTTTTTATGCGAATTCCTTTGTCAAGGCACCTCAATCCCTCTCACACAAGCTTAAAGGCCGCGGTCCGAGCTTGGCTCTGTTTCACTCCAGCGCAGTCTTCGAGACAGTCTGGTCCCTTCACCTGACGAAGGCCGCTTGTGATTGTGGCCGAAACATCGTGAGAATTTTATTGTTTTATATTTTTTACCTACGTAACCCCTCGGGGTCTTACCCAAACAAAACTGTTAGCGAGTTTTAAAAGTGTCGCCGCCTACTTTTGTGCGCCCGTGTCATCTTGTCGGCCTTGAGTGCACTCTCCTTCACGCGCATGTGATACTCCAGCAGAAAAATCTTCTCGTGCTCAAAGAACTCATCCGAGTCCTGCACAGACCCACGCACATTTCACGTCAATCCAGCGCTAGCACTCGGCGTTTTAAAGTGTGTTAGAATCTCACAGCGGTGCTCATAACCCGACTTAAGAGAGCACTAGATAGGACACGTTTTCATGAATGTATTGCCATGAACATACAAGGGCTTCGTAAAACAACCCTTTCCTTCATGCCTCGCAGACATACGACTATAAAGAGGCATGTTGGGCAGCCACAAAGAAGTGTCCGAGCATATCTGCTTGTTTAAGAAAAAACACACAATGGCTTACACGTATGTGATTCAGGCACAGGTGCTTGAAATGTTGGTTTCCAAAATAATTAAGGGTATATACATTCACCAAGACGCAATGATATGGTTACTGATGTTTTTTTTTTTGAACATTGGTTTAACATTTGCGCTGCAACATAAAACGGTCTATTATTGTGAGTTTTTGTGTGAACGGAAGAAAAGGTGACACTAGCGGTTTTTCACACTGTACTATGAACCCAACGACCTGAATTTCATTCCCGATCATGGCAAACATCAGCGGGAAGTGACCCAAACCTTTCCTGAACCCCTCTTCAGGAATCCACATTGACCAGCATGGTGAAATATGTTTAAACCCTCATGACCGATAGACAGTCTGTGGGAAGATTTTCATCTGGCTATGTTTTAAAAGAGGGGATTTAAAATATAATATTACAGTGTCTCAAAAAACGTAGTTTGGATCGATTTAACATCAGTGTGCTTTGGTAAAAATGTCTCGTACAAATTAACAGACAGCTGCAATAACAACATTGTAAAATAAGCACAGAGGTAAAATTGGCTACCAGGCTATGCAGCCACCCATGTGGAATGAGAGGGCTTAAAAAAATACCTTTGCTCCTGAAACCAGGACTTCATCAGCTGACTTCATCATGCTCTTCAAGAACCCTCCCAAGATCTCTTTGGTGTTTTTGCCACGCACACTGAGCTGCGAAAACAGTCAAACATCTCAACGAGATCAGACCAATTCACCACTTAACAATTTCCCGTTCCTAGACGTCTGCAAGTTGCACGCAAGCGGCTCAGAGTTAATTTTATTGAGAGAGGCATAGCGCCATTGTTTTTAAAAACATTACATACTGACCGCACATAACTGTAGCAACATGACCACACTCTATGATAGCTCACGCCAAACTGTGCCACAAGCCGTCCCGCGCATGGCCTTGTGGGAGCCTCGGTACCGATAAAGTTATTTTATCTTCTGGTTTCGTTTTGATGATGTACACGTATGTCATCGGAACGGAATCGGAAGACAAGCTGATGACGTATACGAACCTCACTGGAACGTGAGAGGGTTGATAAGACACCCAAACTGTTATACTTGCAAAGAGCTTAAACGTGACTACCTCTTGGTCATACTCCAGGAAAATGTGGAAGTTGCGGTCTTGGCTCAGGATGGGGTGCGCAGCAAGTCGGCAAAGGAACACCTCGTGCATGGCCACCGTCTTCTTAAAGATCGCCAAGTATTCTCTGCAGTGGGATGGTCGCACCGTACACAAGAACATAACAGAGTTGTTTCTGATGTTCGTACCTTGGTGGGAGGGTTAGCTATTCCGTCAGGTAACTCCCAAATTTTTAGAGGACAAAAACAACGAAGTCCTGTGAAGTCGTGTTTACTCAAACGCGGGACTGTCCGAGTAAACGTGACCCGTGTTGACTGACCCTGTTGGATTTACCGTATTTTCCCGCATATAGCCCGGATACGCATATACCCCGCAAAAATAGCGTTTTGTGTCAAACAAATTTCAGAAAGCCCGCACCTCCATATACCCCGCATGCATTCATATCTTTAACGTCGTTACCACAGCTTAATTCCATCATATTAATACGAAGTTTACATTTGTAATACATTCCACTATCAATTGTTAACATTAAAATCATAACGTGCATAAAGAAAACAAACTAACCGGAAACGAGTGAACTTAAAACAGTAAATAAGTAACAAAAGTAAATAAGTAACAAAAGTAAATATCCATTAAATAAGTAACACATAACTGGTAGATAAGCAAGTACAGTTTTAGCATTGGTAGATTGCGCACTGCGCAGACAATAGCGGCACTACGGTAACGCCGTTGCCCCGCCCCCAACCTCTCTCTCCACCCAGCTCTCTCGTCAACAGGTAAACAAAGTGCTGTCGTTTCATTGTACAAACAATTCGAATAATTTAAAACGTGATAACATGTGCAATTTTAGTGTGAGTGGTTTATTCAGCAGTGCTTTAGGCAAAGGCAAGTGTTGCATAGTGGATAGTCCTACCATGAAAAAATTAAACGAGTCACACTTGTAAAATATTTTTGGGAGAGCCCGCACCTCCATATACCCCGCAGGGTCTTGTTTTGTTTGTAAAAAGTGGTATACTCCGCGGGTTATATGCGGGAAAATAAGGTACTCAAGAGCCGTACGTGTACAATCTTGCATGTTACCGCGATGATGCATTTAACTCGGTCACAAAACTGCAAGGTAAATTACACAAAATATCCAAATCATCATCTCGAGTGCTGATCAATACAGCTGTGGCTGTGCAACTCCACATTTAGAAACATACATATCCATGTTTTTAAGACGTAGGCTTTCGCGATCAGTATTATTCATAATAAAGGTTTTTGGGTTAGATCGCGTGAGCATGTGTCGCGACCCTCCACCACCCGACACGGCCAATCAGTAAAAAAATGAAAGAAATAGCAATAATTTTAACCACTCTGATAGCTACAGACTTAGTGCAGCCTGGAAGCGTATTATTAAGTAATACACAATACATATTACAATTCCTTATAGAGGAATCACATACTAATTAACTGATTACTAATCAATTATATAATTACAATACCCCCCCCCCCCCAAATCGCCCCAAGATGCTGGATGTAATTACCAGCGAAACGTCAGAGTACTCAAATTCTAAATGTTGCGGATTCACTCTTCAAACAAACGGGTGGGCTGAAGAAGTAACTAATTGGCGTTTTGTTAACGTGACACATTTTTTACTGATTGGCCGTGTCGGGTGGTGGAGGGTTGTGACGCATTTATACTCAAGCGATCTCACACAAAAACCTTTATTTTGAATACATTTTCAATGATTTACATTATTTTTCGACTCCAAATTTCCACGTGATAAGCAACTTCGTTGAGCTACCATTTGTAGCCAAGTCGCTTATAAAAATAAGCTCAGTGGGCCTTACCTGTTAAGAAAAAAATAACTTATTTAAATTGTTATATTTTCTTAAGTGGTTTGTTTACCTTTCCTATACTTTGCACTCATCATTTTTCTCGTATTGTTTGTTGTTGTAACATTTTGACCTTCGATTTGCACGGTCGCCTACGTACGGTGCAAAAGAAGTACAACACACATACTGGACATCTGTGAAAAAGAGCTATATAGCTCATCGAAATTCCTCCAGTATAAACATTCTGATTAAGCTTGAGCGGCAACCGCTCGTATAATGGATAGCGCGTATGCGAGAATGAGGATCGCTCGCTCATTTGCAACTCACGCCTCCAGCTCCTGCTTCATCTTGGAGAACTCCTCCTTGGTCATGGTGGCCTCGCCCTCGCCCAGACGCTGCAGCTTCTCGCGAGACGAGTCGAAGTCGGGCCGCGGAGGCGCCGGCGGGATCTGGTGGCACGGGAAACAGGACACGCGTACACAGGACAAAGCTTTAATAGACTGTTGGCGAAAGTGCCGTTAGCGAGCAGCACCTATGAAGGCCTGCACGGCACACGAGGGGGTGGGTGGCCAGCACCATGCCTGGCCGCCTTTGTCTCCCCAGTGGCGATGTTTAGACGCTCCACCAGGTACCCATTTGAGGCTGAGTCGATCGAGGGGAGGCCCAGGACCGGCTCAGATAATCGTCACTGGTGTTGGCCATGACGGGAGCACAGCGTGCCAACACCGCTACACTACTACTCCCATAACCCACGTATATACATACACACACAGACACAAAGACGTACAAAGCAGTTACACGGACAGGTAGTTATAAGCAGTTAGTACACTTGCCATTTTCCCAAGATCGTAACAAATATTTTTTCCTCATGTATTTCGAAGTAAAAATTGGGGGTACGTATTAAATAAGGACAGTTCCGACTGATAATTGTCATTGTCAAATCTTGAATTTATCCAAATTAAATATGGAACAATTTTTACGTGAAGGATTGTTCTAGTCATTGGTTCAAGGGCTACACCTGATAACTTGTTTTAATTAAAGGCAACTGTCTCCAATTGAACCAAGGATGTCAACGGTGTCAGCTCAGTACTGACCTCAGCCACCAGACCGTCAACTCTGGAAAAAGTCAAGACATGTGAGAAACACGTCAGGCCGTATTCTAGAATCGATATATGGTCTACCAACCCAACCTACAAGATACTGAACTGTTGAGCTACCTGGCCACCTCAAAAAATGTATGCATAAATTAGTTAAAATTGCATGTCGATCTGATCATGCAGCACAACACGTTGACTTATAATTGACAATCCCACATGTGCAGTGTGGTAGACACGCATGTGCTGTATGTATGTTGAACTTCTTTCGCACCATATGTAACCAACCGTTCTAACTGGAGGTGCGAAGGAAGGACAAGCTAAACCACGGGTTGGCAACCAAAATAACAAGCCATTTTTTTTTATCCGGTAATTTTTTTTTTTCTACATTTCAAGAGCCGCATTGCATGTGAATTACGTCACGAAGCACTCCTTTAAGGAGCCGCACGCGGCTCTGGAGCAGCAGGGTGCCGACCTCCCCTTGAACTAAACACAAAAAGCACCGCGCGTGTCGCTCCCAGGTGCTCGTTCGGCAGGCACTCACGACGATGCCTCCATAGTCCTCGTTCTCCACGTACGAGTCGTGCAGCCAGATGAACTCCTCGTGCTGCCGCGACACCGACAGCTTCCCCTTCTTGAACGTCGGCAGAGACGTCTGTATGGGCGGACGGGGGGAGGGTTGGAGGTTGGGTGTGATGACACACGACCGTTACTGCGCACCGCTTATACCCATTTAGCCTCCTCCATGGCCATCTACTTGGGAATCGGACCTAGACATTGACTTATGAGTTGCAATACGTCGCTATACAAAGGCATATGCAATAATAACTGTGCACCGCTGGAGGTGATAAGGAACTGAAGCTTAAACAGTTATTGGTGGGCGGCAGAGGGAAATGTAGCAAAATCACTTGTACTTTACTTCTGGGATTCCATTTCTTTGTACTCCACCTTCAACCCACACTCACCAGCATGGTGAAGTAGTGAAATATATTTCTCCGGTGGTAGTGCAGTGTGAAACGCAGTCTTAAATCAGTCGAAGCATCACAAAACCGTGTGAAATGGCGACAAGGGGAGTCATTCATTTAGCAGTGGACTAACCACGGTTGATGACACCTTTGCACCTATGTGCACACGTGTATGTGCTTGTGCGCGTAGTATTTGTGAGGAACGGTAGTGTAGCGGTTAGCGAACTGCGCTACGAACCCGGCGACCCGAGTTCGATTTTCGCTCATGACCAACACCAGTGACGAAGTATATGAATCAGTCCTGGGCCTCCTCTAGGTCGACTCAGCCTCAAATGAGAACCTGGTGCAATGTATAAACATCACCACTATGGAGACAAAAGCAGCCAGGCATGGTGCTGGCCACCCAACCCCTCGTGTGCCGTGCTGGCCTTCGTAGATGCTGCTCGCTAACAGCACTTGCACCAAAAGTATTTTAAGGCTATACAGGGGGTCTTGATTTGAAGTTTTCGTGACTGCAGAAACCACGCTTTCCCACCTGATGACGGACGCTTGTGTTGCGCCCGAAACGTTGTGATTTATTTTATACCTACGTGACTTTACCGAAAGAACCAAAGAGTATACGGGGGGGTCTTTGTCTTTGGTACTTGTGTACGTGCACTGGGCCAGCGTGGCCGAGCAGAAGCCACCCTCACCGTGGTTTGCACCGTGAACTTCACTTTATCTTTTTCGCTCAGCGCATCGGAGATCTCCACCTGCAGCGGGGAATCTGAGGAGTCCTCGTCCTCTGCCTAGGAGCCAACCGTGCAACGGAAATTAAAAAAAGCCACCTATCAGAGACACGGATAATCAAGACTCACGTGTACACCCGGCAGTATACATGTGTACACCACAGTCAAGCCGATCATCAGTTCGCGTGTTGATGGGGCAAAGCGAGGCTAACTCCCACCTCTTCCAGGTTGTCTTTCCAGCATGGAAGAGTAGACCAATATACTCACCAGACGGGCCCTCTAGAACTCCCTCGGAATGAAGGCTCTTTCACCAACAGTGGCATGAACATGCAGCAATTCATGGTTGTTTAACTTTGATATTTAACTTGCCAAGCCGGTTTATGAATAATGTATAAATATGAAAGCCCTGGTGTAGAATACACCACAATGTGTAACGTGACCTATCTGCATTCACTTTCCGATGTACGCATACCATTGTACCGTATATTTGTCATTATATTACAACCTCAAAATATAAATGTTAGGATCAAGTATTGGGTTTCATTATTTGTCTTTCCTGTTTATGACTCACTGCCGCTTTCTGCAAAATAATCGTGACCAATGCCCATGGCTTCTTGAGTTGGGGTCGCACTGATATGCTATAAAAAAAAGAAACTCACTGTATACAGTACTCGTTATGTGTATACTGTACTGACGGATATCAGTCACACAGAACCAGACACTGAGATCCAGACTCGCAGATACGTAACTTCACATACAGCCATACTCACACAAGAGTGTGGTGTTTTCGGAGACCCACACTGACAAAGAACCACAGACTTGCAGAGACCCAAAGACTTAAATAGAGATCTGTAGACTCACATAGTACCACAGAATTGCAGAGACCCAAAGACTTAAATAGAGATCTATAGACTCGCATAGAACCACAGAATTACAGAGACCCAAAGACTTAAATAGAGATCTATAGTCTCACATAGTACCACAGAATTGCAGAGACCCAAAGACTTAAATATAGATATTTAGACTCACATAGTACCACAGAATTGCAGAGACACAAAGACTTAAATAGAGATCTATAGACTCACATAGAACCACAGACTTGCAGAGACCCAAAGACTTAAAAAGAGATCTATAAACTCTCATAGAACCACAAACTTGCAGAGACACAAAGAATTAAATAGAAATCTATAGACTCACATAGAACCACAGACTTGCAGGGACACAAAGACTTAAATAAAGATCTATAGACTCGCATAGAACCGCAGAATTGCAGATACACAAAGACTTAAATAGAAATATATAGACTCTCATAGAACCACAAACTTGCAGAGACACAAAGACTTAAATAGAGATCTATAGACTCACATAGTACCACAGACTAGCAGAGACACAAAGACTTAAATAGAGATCTATACTCACATAGAACCACAAACTTGCAGAGACACAAATACTCAAATAGAAATCTATAGACTCACATAGTACCACAGACTTGCAGAGAAACAAAGACTTAATAGAGATCTATAGACTCACATAGTACCACAGACTTGCAGAGACACAAATACTAAAATAGAGATCTATAGACTCGCATAGAACCACAGAATTGCAGAGACCGAAAGACTTAAATAGAGATCTATAGACCCTCATAGAACCACAGACTTGCAGAGACCGAAAGACTTAAATAGAGATCTATAGACCCTCATAGAACCACAGACTTGTACAGAGATATCGACTCAGAGGTCTGAAGGCTCAGAGACCAACCAACTCACATCAAGACCAACAGCATTGAGCCACAGAATTTCAGAACCCGACTCAAGACTTACTTACATGGTGACTCATACATAACTTATCTCTGCATATGACTATACAGTATAATACACATTCCAAGTTTATCCACAGCGTCTTGATATGTGATCACATATGGACCGCTGTACACAGTATAATTATACAGGTACTTATAATGGACATGTTTAGTATACACTTTATCTATACTCAAAGGTACTGTGTAATCAAGTTCTAAATTCGCATAACAACCACAGACTTGCACAGAGACTCCAGAGACTAACGCTGTGATAGAGATAAGCTGTTATCTGTGCGTGCATATTCACCGCCTTGCGAAGCGAAAGAAAGCTCAGAAGAAGGGGGCTGCCAATCCGGATTACAACTTGTACAAGAAGCCGACATTCGTCACTACGCCCCGCCCGTGCCAGGCTAGGTGCACCGTGAGGACAACGGAATTTCAGTTTCATTTATTTTGGTATAGCCCTGTGAGCCATTCGGCTCTTGAATCGGGTGCAACCGCAACAAACAAAAAACACGAACAAGAAAACATCTTAAAGTGACTATGTGACTGTGCAACCTGAAAATCCAGGAAAAAAAACAGCAAAATATTCCAGAAAAAGCACCATACACCACCAACCCAGTGGGATGTAAGTCAAACAACAACAACAACCACAAGACAACTTTAGATTAAGGCCATCAGTCTAACTCCGTACTACAACAAAACAAAACATGGCCAAACCAAAAAAACTTTTCGAAATCACCAAAATAAAGCCCTAAATGCAACGTAACAGTGATCATTGGGACTGTGACCGAATTTTTTACAATAAACTACATAAATAACATGTACCACCAAAACCCTGTTGCCCAGGGGTCTCAAACTAGCGGCCCGCGGAACGATATTTTGTGGCCCCCTACTTGACATCAATTTTTAATTTATTTTTTTATTATTTTTTTACTATAGCTCAGGCTCGTGACAGCTTCTGGTGTTTGTTGACAAGTTAGCCAACGCGAATTAGCAACGTTAGTCACTTGGTTGAAACGTGATTCCGGAGTGACACCAAGTGGAAGGAAAATATATCCTGTCACCCAGTGCAAGGTACAGAGGACTTAGGAAGTGGGCGGACTCAACAAGAGTAATCAGTGACCTAATAAAGACAACAGAGTGTTGCAATAGGAAAGGGAAAATAATTACATGGATAGCAAATAGCATGAGATGGGTGGCAAGAACAAAAGCCAAATGGTGGTTAGAACCTGAATATTATAAAGAAGTTAAATTTCGATTTAAAGCTTTCGTGACTGCAATGATTCATCTTCTTTGGTTCTTTCGGTAAAGTCACGTAGAATGAGAATAAAATAATAAATTGCTAAAATAAAATAACACAATAATATTCTCACGACGTTTCGGCCACAACACAAGCGGCCTTCATCAGGTGAAGGGAGCGAGACTGTCTGGTAGGACAGCGCTGGAGTGAGAGAGCCACGTTCAGATCACGGCTTTTAAGCTGTGTGAGAGGAACAAAGAGCCTTGACGAAGGAATTAGCATAAAATTTTGCATTGAAAAGGCTGAATGATTAGCTTGTGACTGGTCACAGAAATAGCTATGTTAAAAGTTAAAGCATACACATCCGCAGAGGCACCCATTGTTAAAAGGAATTAGCATAGAATTTAGCATTGAAATAGCTAAATTAAGGCATTCGCTTGTAACTGCTACAGAAATAGTTACGTTGAAGTCAGAGCATACACATTCACCGAGGCACTTAGTACAAATCAAAACAGGAGAATTTAGCATTGAAATAACTAGGCGAATTTAGCATTGAAATAACTGGGTGATTTGCTGGTGACTGGTCACAGAAATGACTACACATCTGAGCTATTCACAGTACTATATAGTGAACCAATAAAAACTAAAATATAAATTACCTTCATGTTATCAATAAACTCTATATTCTCCAATCAGCTAAGCTGATTGGAGAATATAGAGGTAATTTATATTTTAGTTTTTATTGGTTCACTATATAGTACTGTGAATAGCTCAGATGTGTAGTCATTTCTGTGACCAGTCACCAGCAAATCACCCAGTTATTTCAATGCTAAATTCGCCTAGTTATTTCAATGCTAAATTCTCCTGTTTTGATTTGTACTAAGTGCCTCGGTGAATGTGTATGCTCTGACTTCAACGTAACTATTTCTGTAGCAGTTACAAGCGAATGCCTTAATTTAGCTATTTCAATGCTAAATTCTATGCTAATTCCTTTTAACAATGGGTGCCTCTGCGGATGTGTATGCTTTAACTTTTAACATAGCTATTTCTGTGACCAGTCACAAGCTAATCATTCAGCCTTTTCAATGCTAAATTTTATGCTAATTCCTTCGTCAAGGCTCTTTGTTCCTCTCACACAGCTTAAAAGCCGTGATCTGAACGTGGCTCTCTCACTCCAGCGCTGTCCTACCAGACAGTCTTGCTCCCTTCACCTGATGAAGGCCGCTTGTGTTGTGGCCGAAACGTCGTGAGAATATTATTGTGTTATTTTATTTTAGCAATTTATTATTTTATTCTCATTCTACGTGACTTTATATGAATAAGTTATAGATTATTATTACAAGAGAAACAAAGACAAGGAAAAAGGACAGATATGTGCAATCGCAAAAGACAACGAATTTACCAAGAATAATTTAATCAAAAAAGAGCAAGAAATTTAAAGATATAAAATATGAGACAATGCACTTGATGTTAAGAATTAAGACAGGTGGAGTAACATGGACACCAGAGTTAGCTCAATAGCAAGCATCCAGAGAGATTTGGTAGACCAGAAGGATATGTAGGATGTAAACAAAAATAAGAAAATCTAGATCATTTTATTTATGAATGTGAAAAGTATAAACACCTGAGAGAGAACACGATTGATAAAGTTAATAATAAGAAAAACGAAGTGCTAAAAAAAAACTATGAACAATGATAAAGTTTTCAAATACCTCTCAGAATATATAGAAAGGGCATACTAGATAAGATCCCAAATACTCAGGTATTGGGATAAAAACATGTAAACATATCGCAATGGAAAGCCCGCCTTAAGGGTGACCAAAGCGCTGTAAAAGTGTATGGTAGGCAGAAGCCAAAGCATTGACAGTACCGTAATTTCCGGACTATTGAGCGCACCTGATTATAAGCCGCACCCACTAACTTTAAAAAGAAAGTTGTACATATATAGGCCTGCATTTGTCTATAAGCCGCAGGCGTCCACGTTGTAACATGAGATATTTACACGGAAAGATTTTTTAAACTTTTAATAAAAAAAGTACCGGTAACATACACAAATACGTACTGTAAATGCTTTTTTCCCCAAACAGTAGCCAACCAGGAACAGTCCATCCATTTTCTATCCCCGCTTTGTCCTAATCAGGGTCGCGGCGGGGGGAGGGGGGGGCTGCAGCCGATCCCATCTGCTTTTTTTTTGACACCTCTGAAAGCTTTTGTCGTCTTTTTTCATTGAGTCAGTTCTTCACGCTGCCGCCTCCAACGTCTCACCATTGATTCATCGATGCCAAGCTTACGTGCAAGCAGCTCTATTTCCTTCTTTGACAGCCGGATCGATCGCCTTTTAACTTGAAAGCTGCATCATATTGCGTTTCTTCGCGTGTTTTCCATGATGACGGTGTGTGCATGAAGCGCAAAATGACTGATCTGAAGAATTTAGCGTGAGTGCATTTGATTGGTCCACTGTGGCCTGATCGGTAATTTAATTGGTCTGATGTGACGGTAAATGTTTTGGCGGCATGAAGCTTGTGTAAAAAAAACATAAATTAGCCGCATCATTGTTTAAGCCGCAGTGTTCAAAGCGTGTAAAAAAAGTAGCGGCTTATTGTCCGGAAATTACGGTAGTTTTTTATTAACTTTTTTTCTATTATTATTAAATGTGTTTTTTTGTCACACAGCCCCAGTCATGTCTTTCTCTAAACCTGCCGTGAAGAGAAAGGTTGTCGACGAGCACAGACAATTTCAGGAAAAGTGGGAGACGGAATATTTTTTTGTTGAGCACAGGGGCACCCCGACGTGTCTTATATGCACAGAGAAAGTTGCGGTGCACAAGGAATACAACATCAGCCGTCATTACTTAAGTAGACATACTGAGGAGTATGCAAAATAGCAGGGAGATGAGAGAGAGGACAGGGTCGCCAATATTAAAACATGTCTACTGAGGCAACAAGATTTTTTCGAGAAAGCAAGCAAAGAGAGTGATGCAGCAGTCGAAGCTAGCTTACATGGTGAGTGAGATGATTTCTAAGGCGGGGAAGCCATTCAAAGACGGCGAGTTCATCAAAAAGTGCATGTTACAGGCTGCAAGTATAGTCTGTCCGGAAAAGAAGGGTCAGTTTAGCAACATCAGCCTTTCAGCCAACACAGTGGCAGGGCACATTTCTGACCTGTCAGGGTAACATACACGATCAACTGAGTGAGAAAGCCAACACATTTCCGTGCATACTCAGTCGCTCTTGATGAGAGCACAGACATCACTGACACTGCGCAGCTCGCAATGCATGCCCGTGGTGTTGACGACAATTTTGAAGTGACGGAAGAGTTGCTCACAGTGAATCCAATGCATGGCCAGACCACTCCTGAATGCCGGTTTACCATGGAAGAGGTTTGCTGGAATAACAACCGACGAAACGCCATCGATGACAGGGAGGGGAAATGGACTGGTGGCACTTGTTCAAAGAAAACTGGAAGAGGAGGGTGTGGAGGAGGCCATTGCTCTGCACTGCATTATCCATCAGCAGGCCCTTTGCAGCAAATGCCTGAAGTTTGACAATGTGATGTCTGTCGTTGTGAAATGCATCAACCATATCAGATCCAGGGGCTTAAAGCACCGGCAGTTCCGCGCCTTTTTAGAGGAAATAGAGTCAGCATATGCGGATGTGCTCTACTTCACCGAGGTACGTTGCCTCAGCAGGGGAAACGTCTTGAAGAGGTTTTTTGAGTTGAGAGCAGAAGTGAAAGCCTTCATGGAGAAGGATGGGATGGCTGTTCCTGTGCTAAGTGATCCCAAATGGCTCATGGACTTAGCTTTTCTTGTTGACATCACACAGGAGCTGAATGTACTGAACAAGAAGTTACAAGGCCAGGGGCACTTTGTCAGTGCTGCCTATGACAAAGTCAGCGCATTCTCCACAAAACTTGTGTTATGGAAAGCCCAGCTCTCTCAGACAAACCTCTGCCATTTCCCAGCATGCAAGGCACTCATGGACGCGGGCACACCATTCAGTGGTGAGAAGTATGCTGATGCCATTGTAAAGCTACAGGAGGAATTTGATCACAGGTTTGCAGACTTCAAGACACACAGAGCCACTTTTCAAATGTTTGCTGACCCCTTCTCCTTCGATGTGCAAGATGCCCCTCCTGTGCTTCAAATGGAGCTAATTGACCTGCAGTGCAATTCTGAACTCAAGGCCAAGTTCAGGGAGGTGAGTGCAAAAGCAGACAAGCTTGGACATTTTTTGAGAGAATTGCCCCCCACCTTCCCTGAGCTTTCCAGGATGTTCAAGCGGACCATGTGCCTTTTTGGGAGCACATATCTGTGTGAAAAGCTCTTCTGCACCATGAACTTTAATAAGTCAAAGTACAGGTCCAAACTTACCGATGAGCATCTTCAAGCCATATTGAGGGTCTCAATTGCTTCCTCCCTCAAAGCCAAATGTGGCTCAGCTGTGTAAGAAGAGGAAGCGCTGCCAGGTCTCTGGGAGCAAGGAGTAGGTAAGAGAAGCCTACGTTCTGGAGAACCGTTCATGTTCTGAACTGTTATTAATAAAGATTGAGCAGATTGGATCGGCTGTACTTTTTTTTTTGGAATACTTTGATGCGGCCCAGCCTCACCCAGCCTCTACCTCCAGCGGCCCCCAGGTGAGTTGAGTTTGAGACCCCTGGTGTAGCCATAGCTGGGCTTGCCATGAGTCACTCCACAACATCAGGAGCATCAGTCGCAGGCGTATCAACATGTTTCAATGCACCTTTAAGATCAACGCGCTAAATCAAAATACAGATAATGCTTTGCAGCGGTCACCCGGAGCGACGCATTTTTATTTTATTTAAGGCCACTGAATAGCAACGGAGACTTAACAACAAATATTTCGATTTAAAGCTTTCGTGACTGCAAGGATTCATCTTCCCTTCACCTGATGAAGGCCGCTTGTGTTGTGGCCGAAACGTCGTGAGAATATTATTGCGTTATTTTATCAATGTATTATTTTATTCTCATTCTACGTGACTTTACCGAAAGAACCAAAGAGGATGAATCCTTGCAGTCAGGTAAGCTTTAAATCGAAATTTAACAAATATATTCGCTATAAGCGCGCGTTGGAAACTCCCGATTGGGGACAACCCCCCCCCGCCCCCACCAAACATTCGAAGCCCCTTATATCTCACTGCCATCGCGTTAAATCAGTCACTTGTCGCTACTTTATTAACTTTATGACACGGGGAACTTCCCTCCAAAAGCGGCCCGCCAAAATAAAAAGTTAAAACTTTCGAAAGGGCCGCGCCTACTCGACTCACTTGGCCTGCTGGAGCTTCCGCCACCAACTCCGGGTCATCGTCCACGCCGTCCTGAGGACGAGAGCAAGTTTACATCAGCGATGTTGTTGTGTTTGTTGTTTTGTGCTTGTTTGTTTGTTTCGCGTGAGGGGGAGGGGGGTGGTGAAGCGAGCGGTGGGACTTTGCTTCCTGAGCCGAAAGCGAAGCGACCCACCATCATGGTTGCGCCGTGACGTCAGCGGTACACACACACACAGTGGTGACGTCACTGCGGGTGGGGGTGGGGAGGGGTAGTGGTGGTGGTGAGGGATGGTGGTGAGGGATGGTGGTGAGGGATGGTGGTGAGGGATGGTGGTGAGGGATGGTGGTGAGGGATGGTGGTGGTGGTGAGGGGTGGTGGTGATGGGTGGTGGTGGTGAGGGGTGGTGGTGGTGAGGGGTGGTGGTGGTGGGGGGTGGTGGTGAGGGGTGGTGGTGAGGGGTGGTGGTGAGGGGTGGTGGTGGTGGTGAGGGGTGGTGGTGGTGGTGAGGGGTTGGTGGTGGTGAGGGGTTGGTGGTGGTGAGGGGTTGTGGTGAGGGGTAGTGGTGGTGAGGGGTTGGTGGTGGTGGTGAGGGGTTGGTGGTGGTGAGGGGTAGTGGTGGTGAGGGGTTGGTGGTGGTGGTGAGGGGTGGTGGTGGTGGTGAGGGGTTGGTGGTGGTGAAGAGTGGTGGTGGTGAGGAGTGGTGGTGGTGGTGAGGGGTGGTGGTGATGGGTGGTGGTGGTGAGGGGTTGGTGGTGGTGGTGAGGGGTGGTGGTGGTGGTGGTGAGGGGTGGTGGTGGTGAGGGGTGGTGGTGGTGAGGGGTAGTGGTGGTGAGGGGTTGGTGGTGGTGGTGAGGGGTGGTGGTGGTGGTGAGGGGTTGGTGGTGGTGAAGAGTGGTGGTGGTGAGGAGTGGTGGTGGTGGTGAGGGGTGGTGGTGATGGGTGGTGGTGGTGAGGGGTTGGTGGTGGTGGTGAGGGGTGGTGGTGGTGGTGGTGAGGGGTGTTGGTGGTGAGGGGTGGTGGTGGTGAGGGGTTGGTGGTGGTGAGGGGTGGTGGTGGTGGTGAGGGGTGGTGGTGGTGGTGAGGGGTGGTGGTGGTGGTGAGGGGTGGTGGTGATGGGTGGTGGTGGTGGTGAGGGGTTGGTGGTGGTGAGGGGTTGGTGGTGAGGGGTGGTGAGGGGTGGTGGTGGTGGTGAGGGGTGGTGGTGGTGGTGGTGAGGGGTTGGTGGTGGTGAGGGGTTGGTGGTGGTGGTGGTGAGGGGTTGGTGGTGGTGAGGGGTTGGTGGTGGTGAGGGGTGGTGGTGGTGAGGGGTGGTGGTGGTGAGGGGTTGGTGGTGGTGAGGAGTGGTGGTGGTGAGGGGTGGTGGTGATGGGTGGTGGTGGTGGTGAGGGGTTGGTGGTGGTGAGGGGTTGGTGGTGGTGGTGAGGGGTGGTGGTGGTGGTGGTGAGGGGTGGTGGTGGTGGTGAGGGGTTGGTGGTGGTGAGGGGTGGTGGTGGTGGTGAGGGGTTGGTGGTGGTGAGGGGTTGGTGGTGGTGAGGGGTGGTGGTGGTGAGGGGTTGGTGGTGGTGGTGAGGGGTGGTGGTGGTGAGGGGTGGTGGTGGTGGTGAGGGGTTGGTGGTGGTGAGGGGTGGTGGTGGTGAGGGGTTGGTGGTGGTGAGGGGTTGGTGGTGGTGAGGGGTGGTGGTGGTGGTGAGGGGTGGTGGTGGTGGTGAGGGGTGGTGGTGGTGGTGTTGAGGGAGCAGAGGAGGTTCGTGAAGGACGCTGCTGCTACTGGGCAGTTGGAGGCAGTCGCGACCCCTACCAACAACAACGGAGGTACTTCTGTGGTTCTTTCGGTAAAGTCACGTAGGTAAACATAAAAAATATGTTAATCAAATCACGACGTTTCGGAGGCAACACAAGCTTCCGTCATCAGGTGTAACTAGGACAGCAAAATGACTGCCTCCGAAACGTCGTGATTTGATTAACTTATTTTATTTCTGGATCATTGCAGTCACGAAAACTTCAAATCTAGAAGAAACAACGGAGGTGCTGAGGAGCAACGCTCACAACAATGAGCGGATAAAATACGGCAAGTTGGCACGGTAAGGGGGTACAGCTGGTGGTGCATCTACCGGTCTTCTCAGTCATCTCAGTCATCATCTCAGTCATCATCTCAGTCATCTCAGTCATTTGCGAGTCATCGCAGTCATCTCCCGGTCATCTCCCGGTCATTTCAGTCATCTACCATTCATCTCAGTCATCTATAAGTCATCTCAGTCATTTGCAAGTCATCACAGTCATTTACCAGTCATCTCAGTCATCTACCGGTCATCTCAGTCATCTCCCGGTCATCTCAGTCATTTGCAAGTCATGTCAGTCATCTACCGGTCATCTCAGTCATCTCCCGGTCATCTCAGTCATCTACCAATCATCTCAGTCATTTACCGGTCATCTCAGTCATCTCCTGGTCATTTCAGTCATCTACCAGTCATCTCAGTCATCTACCAGTCATCTCAGTCATCTCCCGGTCATCTCAGTCATCTACCAGTCATCTCAGTCATCAACCAATCATCTCAGTCATTTACCGGTCATCTCAGTCATCTCCCGGTCATTTCAGTCATCTACCATTCATCTCAATCATCTCAGTCATCTACCAATCATCTCAGTCATTTACCGGTCATCTCAGTCATCTCCCGGTCATCTCAGTCATCTACCAGTCATCTACCAATCATCTCAGTCATCTACCAGTCATCGCAGTCATCTCCCGGTCATCTCAGTCATCTACCAGTCATCTCAGTCATCTACCAGGCATCTACCAGTCATCTCAGTCATCTACCAGTCATTTCAGTCATCTACCAGTCATCTCAGTCATCTACCAATCATCGCAGTCATTTACCGGTTATCTCAGTCATCTCCCGGTCATCTCAGTCATCTACCAGTCATCTCAGTCATCTACAAGTCATCTCAGTCATCTACCAGTCATCTCCCGGTCATTTCAGTAATCTACCAGTCATCTCAGTCATCTACCAGTCATCTCAGTCATCTACCAGTCATCTACCAGTCATCTCAGTCATCTACCAGTCATCTCCCGGTCATTTCAGTCATCTACCAGTCATCTCAGTTATCTACCAGTCATCTCAGTCATCTCCCGGTCATTTCAGTAATCTACCAGTCATCTCAGTCATCTACCGGTCATCTCAGTCATCTACCGGTCATCTCATCTCAATCAGTCAACCCATGCCATCCACCTGGGTCTGTCCCGAGGGGCCGTCCATAAATGACGTCACGCGATTTTGGACGATTTTTGACCCCCCCCTAGTCACATGGCGTCACAAAGTCAGACCCCCCCCCCCTCAAATATGACGTCATAAAGCTATGCCCCCCCTCCCAGAAAAAATCGCTGCACTCTGATGTTGTAGGAGAAAACATTTATTAAAAAGTCTGTTTAGTTAAGTAGAACGTGTTGTCTATATTTAAAGTTGCTAATTTTGATGTGACGTCACATTTATCACCCCCCCCCGTCGTCACAAATGTCTGCCCCCCCCCTAGGTGCGTGACGTAATTTATGGACGGCCCCCGAGACCTGCTGCTGTCAGCGAACCTTCGACACTTCACGTGGGCACAAAAGTGCACCTAGTCTGGCACAGGAGCCGTGGCGACGTCACCGTCACTTAGTGGCGAACGGCGGCTGTTGGTATTGGGGAGCAGACGGAGGCGCGCGCCGTGACGTCATTTAACTATAAAACTATCTATGACGTCAAATTCGTAAAGAGGGGCCGTGTTATGTGGGGGGAGAAGCGATTAGGCGCGATGACGTCATTTTAACAATAGCCAAATTGCCGACGTCAGGGCGCGCCTGGAAGTAAAAATTTGTCAAACGACGATGGGGGTGGGATGGAAAGAGACCGGTGACGTGACGTCATTTAACGGCGGGAAGTTCAAATTCTTTAAACGGAATCGGGATTGTGGTGAACGGAGTTGCACGCCTTTCACGTCATTTATTTTAGCGGTGGGAAGTTCAAGTTCGTAAAAAAAAGAGGACCGAGATCTGAGGGGGCGGGGGCTGAGGAGGAGACGTGCGACATGACGTCATTTTAACAATACATAAAAAATCGGTGACGTCACGGCGCGCGGGAAATTCAAATTCGTGAAACGGGACCGGGATGCGACATACGAAAGCAACGGGGCTACATGACGTCATTATTATTAATGCGGGAAATTAAAATTTCCTAAGTTTAAATATTGCTGCGGTGTCACGGTGAGCACACGGCAACTGAAATCTCACAATTCGACGGGTTCGATTTCCCCGGCGTGGCAAATTTATAAAAAATCAACAAAAAATCTGAACGTTTCCTTCCATCCCTCAGAAGTCTGCATTGCAAATTTTGCAGATCGACTTATTAACAAAAACTTGGCGGGGTAAAATGTGAGAACTCCCGCCTCACTCCCGGGGGGACATTTAAATCATTTTGGCGGGACCCCGGGATCCTGCAAAAATCAGGTCAATAATAATAATAATAATGATTATTATTTTTCAGTCCGCCCCACTCCGTGATCCCGACAGCAACGCGCCGCCCGCCCAGACTCGCCGCGCCAACAACAAGCGCCAGCAGCAGCAGGCGACTATCAACACGATGGGCGCCACCCCACCGGTCAAACGCAAACCCCGGGGGGCGACGACGCCCTCCGGTCAGCCGTCGATCCTCGGCTTCTTTGCCAAGGCGAGCCCCACCGCCCCCCCCCCCCGGGCAGTGAATTTAACGTGTTCGTGTAATTTTTCAACTTTTTGACGAAACTCAGTGTCTCCGAGTAGCTCTTGACGAGGGCCAATCGATTGACCGCTAGAGTTTTGTTGTCGGTAAGGCGACGAGACTCGTGTCGCTACGCGGGGTTTTCCCACCCCGGGGCAGCGATGGGACCCCGGGGTCCCGCCAATTGCTTCATTTCACCAGCGTGGGCCAGATGACTGAACTGTCTCAAGAGCTCTCCACAACACCTCGAGTTAAAATCGGCACTCGAGAGTTCGTCATTGAGCAAGGCCGCACGCTAACGGGGGAAAGTGTGGGTACGTCCAAAGGGGCCGTCCATAAATGACGTCACGCGATTTTGGACGATTTTTGACCTCCCCCCCCCCCCCATCGTCACACTGCATCACAAAAAATCAGACCCCCCTCAAATATGACGTCACGAAGCTTTGCCCACCCCCCCCCCAAAAAAAAATAAAACATGTTTCAAATCGCTTTAAGCTATTGTCATTGTAGTGCATATTTAATGTGGCGCTGCAATCTGATGTTGTAGGAGAAAATATTTATTAAAAAGTGTATTTCATTAAGTAGAACGTGTTGTCTGTATTTAAAGTTTGCGCATTTTGATGTGACGTCACATTTCTCAACCCCCCCCCCCACTCGTCACACATGGTCACAAATGTCTGACCCCCCCCACCCTAGGTGCGTGACGTCATTTATGAACATCAGAGTGCAGCGCCACATTAAATACGCACTACAATGACAATAGTTTAAAGCGATTTGAAGCATTTTTTATTATTTCGGAGGGGGGGGGGCAGAGCTTTGTGACGTCATATTTGAGGGGGGGTCTAACTTTTTGTGACGCCGTGTGACGAGGGGGGTGGTCAAAAATCGTCCTAAATCGTGTGATGTCATTTATGGACGGCCCCTAACACAAACAAATAGACAATTTTTTATACTCTTTGGTTCTATGGCTGTACACCTTGAAAACTCAATTTCCCTCTACAAGATTACGGGTAAACCGTATGGGATGACAGGTTTGACCTTTTATCGTATTCATTTTATATTGGCACATTCGTGCGTGATTATTCACCAATGACTCACTCCACCGCTCGCTACCTCCCTCGGGGTCCGCTTGGTTGAGAACCACTGCTTCAGAGCTCCTCCTAGTGGAGACTCTTTCCACCCAGCTGTGGCGTGAGCGAAAATTTGCAGGGCTTGCACCCTCATCTTCTACGGCAAGGGTGGAGAACCTTTTATCTGCCAAGGGCCATTTGCAGGGCCGGAGCCAGGGGCGGGGGGTGACAGGGTAGACAATTGTCACCCCAGAAAAAAAATCGAAAATCTGAAACATTCTGCGTATAAGTGTACGACACTCGGTCTGGCGTACTCCGTGCAACTGCATTGTAAGAGTGTGTCGCCAACCGGTGGCGTCTAGTTCAACAAGCCTGACTCTCTAAATCATTCTTGAAATTAAAATTTGTTGAATGTCACCCCGGGCTGAAAATCCTGGCTCCGCCACTGGCCATTTGGATATTTAAAACATCATTCGCGGGCCATACAAAATGATCAACTTAATAAATGAGTCCGTTATATTTATGTCAAACATTTCATTAACTCGCCCTTAATGCGATGGGCTGGAACTGCTTCTCTTTGGCGAGGCGTGGTGATGATGTTAGCCGGTATTGACGATGATGTTGCTACTCGCAACTGCTTTTCCAGGTTTTGCTCCTAGATTTATTTAATTTCGAGTCCCGCCTGCGGTTGCCTTGGCAGGGCCAGAGACCCAAATGATTTCGCGGGGCCTCATACGGCCCGTGGGCCGGACGTTCCCCACCCCTGGTCTACGGGGATGATACGCTTCTAGCTGAGCGACCTCCAACTGGAGCGAAGATTGTTGACAGGGGCTCTTGTTTTTTATGAACGTACTTTTCGTTTGTTGGCCCTTCCCCCGCAACGATTGGCTACGCGCGGTGAGAAAGAAGTTCACTTAACGTACAGCAGAGGGCAGTGTAGCAAAGTCCATTGTTGTGCAGTTCCTGTGTTGGACAGTACTTGCATGTTCCCTGCCTTCACCAACCGGCACAAACCAGTGTCGTGAACCGGTCAGACGTACACCATGACCGGCACCGGCACGCGGGAGGCCCTCATCCAGCAGTGGATTGATGAAGGATTTCAACCCGTGCAACGTAGACATTGATTAAAGACTAAACGTTTGTATCACAATTTTTGTTTATTGTACAAAAAAAAAAATCAACCGACAGAAATTCCACAACAGACCAACTAAACAAGCAGTGTCATAGTGCACAGTCACACGAAGAATCGAGAACAACGGGTGGTGTGGTGTACTCATGACGGAGCCACAGGAACGGGGAAAGCACATTCAAATTACCGGAGTGATCTCTCGAAGATACAAACAGCGGATGAAACATGCATCGCATAGTTGCACTGCACGTACTAAAATACAATTACAGTGCAAATCGGGCGCTTAATTTAGATGCCAATTACACATGTTATGAATTGCATTTAAATTACAGGACGGTGTTGCAGGAGGGCCTGCTGGCTGAATAAATCATGATCGTTCATGTCAACTTTATCAGGACTAGCGAGGTTCTAAGCACACGATGGTGGTACCTTGAGTTAGGCTCTGAAAGTCAACCGGAAACGCCCTCAAGTACAAAGAAGACAGTTCTACTTTGAAGCTAAATTACAGGAGACCGGGTTTTGAGAATTTCGCCACTTTTGCGACGGTAATGTTTACGCACGCACGTCAACTAAAGTGCAATAGAACTCTCATCCGTGGTGATGGGGCAGACGAACATCGCCGATGCCATTGCTGTACCAGCGACGTCATTTCTCAGTGACGTTACTCCAATGATTTGCGGTAACAAAATGTGAAATTTGGCGATGTTACCCTTATTCCCACACAAAAAAAAACTTTTAGATGACGGGAAGATTTTCCACAGTAGAATACTGCAGATAATCGAGAAGGAGAAAAGGGCTATAGGTTATAGGAATTTTCACGGACCCTACAGCTCCTGCAGACAATAGGAGTCACGGGTAATAGGGTAAACACATGAGGGGATGTATGCAGTTTTGTATGATAATGTCTCAACTGATGACGGCAGCTGAAATGTGTAATTGGAATGGCGCCAATCCTGGCGAGAAGTCACACGCGAACAAAAATTAATCTCATTCAGATCCACAAAAGTTGCAAACGTTTCGGTCTCCTGATCTCCTAGGAGTCTCAAGGTCACCGATCCTGAAAACACTACCTCGTGTTTCATCAATTTAGTGCAGCTCTCAATCGGTACTCGGATACCTTTGCCTTCTGTGTCAGGATGGGCTTTTCATTCCTCCGTTGCACAAGATCTAAGCTTTTGAAAGGGACGTGAAAAAAATAATGGCTCATTATCCGCAGAAAGGCACTTTTGCCATCTTTGAAATAAACAAAAATATATAATTTACATTCATATCCATGTAGTGGCAGACGAGGCACAATACTTAGATAGCAAGTATAAGGGTTGCCATCTCTGAGGTACAAAAAAAACCCAGTACATAACATGGGAAGGTGAATTAGAATATCTGACAATACCATAACAGAGAACTACATGTAAATGCATTGTTTTGAGCGGTGTATTTTGATAAAAAAAAACTGTGACTTTTAATGTCTCGGGAAGACTGACAGATTTCCCAGGAAAGCTACCGAAAACAACGATCCTGGGAAAACCAGGATAGGTGGCAACTCTACGCAAGTAAGACAGAGGAGTGGGGGGGGGGGGTGCCTCTTTTACATGGACCCGAGCGCCAATCCTGGCGCGAATATTAAACTAAAAAAAAAATATATTCAGTGACAGAAATGTTTTGGGCAGGCATAAGTTTGCATAAATTATATTCAACTAAAATGTTAGGCGCGGTGACGAACGCCTGTAATCAAGCATTTCTCAGGCGAGGGTTGTGAATCAACACCGTCCTCCATCACACGAGAAGATGCTGTGTTACAAGCGTGGCCCGTAGATGGCAGTGCGGTTAATGTTGTTGAACTATCCGAAACAAATTTCTGAGGGATATCCGGTCCCCCCCCCTTCGATGCTCGAGGATTTTTCTTTTTCTTTCGGGGTACTCCAATATCCTTAAACGTTATATAATCAATACGGATTTGGCTAAGCATCCGATTATAAGAACCTTCGAAAACGAGTCTTTGGAATTCATGAGGCTCTCCCGGATAAAACAGTGGACTTTTATGAAAATGTAATGCATTCAATCAATATTGTGTGTATATATTAACTTAATTGTCACTCTGCGCGTCCAGAGTTTCAGCAGACCATGCAAGACCACCGACGTTACACAATTGCAACCGTCTGATGTACTCGGGCAAAAATACAGAACCTGTGCAAAAGTTTAGCTGCCAATGCGACCGCGGGAACTGTTAAGCTCTGACAAAGGGGCCTTAACAAGAAATACATTAAATTTTTATTTAAAGCTTTCGTGACTGCAGGGATTCATATTCTTGGTTCTTTCGGTAAAGTCACGTAGAAGGGAAACAATAAAAATATTAAACAATACAATTCTCACGTTTCGACTGCAATACAAGCAATCATCATCAGGTGTGAAAACCACAACAAGAAAATTCGAAATTTGAAATTTTCTTGTTGTGGTTTTCACACCTGATGATGATTGCTTGTGTTGCAGTCGAAACGTCGTGAGAATTTTATTGTTTTATATTTTTATTATTTTATTGTTTCCCTTCTACGTGACTTTACCGAAAGAACCACGAATAACAAACACATTGTTCTTACATGCATTCTGGACATGTCAGTGTACAAGTGGAAGTTTCTTGTACGGTCCAGTGTGCAAACTTTACACGTGCCACGGAGAACTCTACAAATACAGAAGCCTCGCTCACTTTCATCCATCACGGAGTGACCAAACACTTGCTATAGAGAGAGGCTCTGGGCTGTGTTTCCTCTAAAGCTACAAACGTGACTCCCGTTCTGCCTTTGTGTGTCAGTCTTGGCCCCCTTGCGGAGTTTGCTTTTCGTGTTATGGGCCACTAGCCCCTGTGTACCGACGTCTAGACTAAGTAGTGGAACGCCTGACGTCTGACACGGTTTACACCGGAGCCCAGGTTCCGATGTTGAAGCCTTTTTGTTTATCTCAATTAGGAACACCTGGTGCCAAGTAATACAAAACCGCAAGTAATGTGTTACGTAGGCATTAGGGGTTGTGCTGTGTAGCTCGCCGACTTTTGTTTTCGGGTTGTACCACGTGCCGTTTAGCACGATGTCCGACGTTTCGCCCCGCGTACTGTAACGTGTTGCATCATGCCGAATAACACTCGGTTACAACCCGACAAAGGCATGAGAGAGCCAGGAAAGCAAAGTCTTGCTTACCAGGACATACATCTCATTGCTGGATACTTGTTTTTAGTCAAAGGCCCGCCTTCCAGTTTTAAGCATTATCTATTGTGCATTTTAGTGGCAGTCTAGTGTTCCATTTGAGGTGATACTCGAGCAAAAAACATCAAAAAAACATTTACGTGCCTACCTCTATAGTTATCACAATGACACATGGCCTCCTTGAACCCAGCCCAATCGTATAAAAAATACAAATACACAATTACCCAGCCAACACCAATTAATGGCGTAACTGGTAGACAGCTAACCTTACAGGCCATTGGCTCTACAATAAAAAAACCGATATTCACCGATACCCAGAAATAATCTCAGACACCAATGTGGTTTTCATTATAATCCTTACATTCTCCAGGCAAACTCCATAAAAAAACAACAGCATTGCAAGTTTCCCATGAACACAAATAATAGGAATGAAGTCAATAATTCACTGTAACTCCATTCCATGCCGAATCAATACAGTCATTGTCTTCCAGAATTCGGATAGAATTGTAAATGGCTGCTGTTACAGGTAGCCATTGATCACTGGCTCGTATGGCTGTGCCCAATGAAGGTTTTCTGGAAAACCCAAACTGAATTCATTCATGGGTGGGAACGGAGCTACCGTTCTATATACAACATATACAGCACTTGTCAAATACCATTAACAAATATTCCATTGTCTCCGCAATGATTATCCGGGTGAGAAATGAAGGGGCTTGAAAGTCACCCTGTAAAAAAGTTGAAACATTCTAGACTAAAATATATACACAAAGACCGTGTACCACAATTTTTTCATATGAGGTGACATGCACATTAAAACTCACAATAGCCTTTAATGGGCCTGCCCATACAACACAATCATGCGCAGGGCTTCGTTCCTCACCCGGCACACCACAACCAGTATACGTCTCGCTTTGGGCCGTGCCACCTACTACACCAGTCTGCCAGCGACCCAGAAAATGTTCGGTAAAAAAAAGTTAAAGCCTGATCCGTTGCCGTCTGTTCACAGCAACAGATCGCTACTCTGCATCCAGATCTTCGAAGTGCACACACACACAGTTCCGGCGTATTGTTTTCAAATTTGACCCTCATTTCCGAAGGAATTATGTTGACAGGAAGACTACGAGAGTGCATCCGTTTTCAACGTGCACATTTTCGTTGGAAGATCTGGAGACAAAAACATCCGTCGTGGATCAGATTCTGGGTTTGAATCCAACGAAGTCCTCAGTGCTGAAGTATTTATTTGTGTGAAGACTCACAGCTTCGCTCGCGATTTTATAAAAATGTAAAAAAAGAAATACGACGACAAAAAAAACCCTGACAGGTCCCCCCCCCCAAAAAAAAATATAAATGGCTATGCTTGTCCTTATTTTCATGCACGGAAAAAAATTCTCAATTCAATAACAGTCTATATTTAATTGAAAAAAATTAAGCAGCTTGAAAATCGAGAAACCTTTTGAAAAGTTGACCCAACAGTAACTGTTCCATTCAAATATCGTACCCCTGGTTTTGCATAGAATTGAAAAAGTATATATATACACACACACACTCATAAACACTAATGTAAGGCCTACATTGTATTGAAAATTATTCAAGAAAATTAGGGACTGCAATGACAGTGGTATACGTGCACATATTTCGTTATAAGAAAAAATAATCAATGGGGTGAGTTTTTAAAATGGGTTCGTTCATGTAGAGTAATGAACGAAATGAAATGTAAATGCATGTGCATGTTACGTGTATGCCTACGCATATGTTTGACGAATGGTCTAATTTCTCTCACCACCAAGTAAGTACATACACGAGCCGTGGCCAATGATAACTGAGAACACTACATACCACACAGCTGTGAATCTAACGTTACGGCTAATATTTAAGACCCTCTCTTCTTGTGCTCAACTTAGAGCAGAATAAGTGCACTAATCTTACGAGGAACTCACCTGAATGTGATCAACTCTGAGTATGTGTGTGTGTATATATATATATTTTTTATCAAGCTTTTACTGTAACACTTTTGACCATTCTGCAGGCTGCCAAAGGGAGAGAACGTGCCCCGCAAGAAGCGACCACCGTGCAGACGGGGCGTTGAGTTCCCAGTGAGATAAACCGTGCCTGATGATGACTACATAGGCGAAGGCGCTCTAAATGCATCGCTGCACGCATGCCTCGTGCCACTGCATTCCCTGTGACTCCGAGGCCGCGGTTATTGTCACGGTGCCATCTACAAGCGACGTGCGCTGATGATAAACCTTTGCGCAGAAGCACCCATTACAGTGTTTGTAAAAAAATAAAACTCATCAGAACGGTTGTCAAATAAATTGAACGTTACACAACGTGAACCGCAGCTCAAGGTGCCTTTCAACAGTCGCGCACCCGAGCCCCGTTTGACTGGAACCAAAACCAGTTTCTTAATATTTTTTACCGTTGCCTTTGGAGACCTGGTATAAAAAAAAAATTAGGAAAAAAAACTGAGCAACATTTTTTTTTTATGACTACAGTGGGTGTGGTGTCACCCCCAGAAGGCTGTGGCCTGAAGCTTTGTCAAACTCTTTACTCGGTGCGATTTAATTTTTTCAAGTCTGCAACTCTGCATTCCTTCAGATGTATTAGCGATGCAGTTGACGCTGTCAGTTTAATAGATTTATGTCCGCAAAGTAACGCGAAGGCATCTAGGCGGTGATGATCAAGCACATTTTTCTTTCCCTTAAAAAAAGAAGACGAAAACTTTGGCCTCAAACATTTGTAAAATGTTGGCAATAGCTCGTAAATGTTCTTCAGAGATATCCATCAATCACTCTGTTAGTCCGCTTTAGAAATAAAATTATTTACCGCCCTTCTTTAAATCAAAAGCTGGACGATTGCCTTGCCTCCTGTCCTGGTTTTAATAGGATCATCCTATTTTCGTAGTAGCTCCTGTCCTGGGAAATCTGTAAGTCTTCCGGTGATATTAAAAGTCCCGTTTTTTGTCAATTGTGTAATAATAATCATACACCACTCAATCAAAACGATTCACTTACATCTACTTATCCCCTTTTTCTGCATTGTGAAAGTCTTCTTGCCACAATGTCCTGTTTTTTTGGTACCTCAAAGGTGACAACCCAAGGTTGTTTGACCATATTTCACCACGCTGGTCAGTGCTGGTTGATAAGGCGGTGGGGGGGGGGGGGGGTTGCGCCTTGGACCGGTTAAGACACCACTCGCCACTGATTGTTATCTGTTGCCAGGGATCACACTTTGGCAGCTGGGCTCATATCTCCGTGCGCTTACCGCTGCGCGTGCCGATACGCTTCTGTAATAATGAAAAAAAAAAGGAGTCGTGAAGTATTTTGTTTGGTCAAAAGTGTGTGGCTGCACCCACTGGCGAGAGACAAGAGGTCAAATCGCACGCGTCCGCCCGTTGCTGTTCTTGGCCGAATGAGTTTTAAGCCGCGCGTGTGCGCGTGTGCATTTTTTGTTACCACTATTATCAGTAGCATAATGCCCGAAATACTGGGTATCAATGCAGGCTAATGTGGATGTAAAGATTCCCCCACCCACGTGAAGGATTTGTTTAAATATGAGTTGCTGGAATGGTCGGGTTTTTTTTGTTTTACAAGGAAGTTTGTGTTGTGTGTTTTTAAAAGCAGAATCGCTTTTCGCTGATTTAACGTTACACAACGTAATATCAAACCTGTTATGTTCGAACATACCTTTGAAGTAAAGGCATCAAATATATTGCTCAGTTTGTTTCCTCCAGAAGATATTAAATTGTTTGAATTCACGTTATTGTATTCACCCAAGTATTGGAGTGTGAAACACCCTGCTTGGGAATTATATTTTTGTTTAATTGTTATGTATATGAGTTTTTATCGCTTCAATTCTTCATGTAAAATATTCCTCTGCCCTGGCACGAGAACATCATTACTGTACTGGGAGTTTTGAGTGCAGAGCTTTTCAAAGCATTCAGAGGAATCCAAGTTTCTCAATTGTATCAAAATCAGCAGGCACGGTACCGCCACCTAAGATAAGTGCTTTGTGTTTTTCACAAGATATATATTTTTTTAAAAATAATAAAAAAACATTATGGATAAGCACGCTTCTTACAATTTCCTTATTTATGGAAGCCACGTTCTGAGAAAGACAGGGCGCTGGTTTCTTAATAAAAATATCCTTGCTGCCACAAAATGGCCACCAAACAAAATGGCCACCGCACAAAATGGCCTCCTCCACGAACTAAAAAAATCAGATTTTCTTTCTTGTCGTTTTTTTTTGCACCATTTGCAAAAATAGTTTTTTGTTGTTGTTGTTGTCGTCGTTGGTTTTGTGTGTATATATATATACAAGTATGTATACGTTTTAAATTTAATGGTTGCTGGGCTGCAGTGCCGTCTGGATGCAAGCAGGGCGACGCGTCACTTTGCGCAGCTGTGCGCTGTCGGGGTGACTTTCGCGGAGGTGCACGACGAAGGCCTCCTGGCTGGACGCCGTGAAGCCGCACTCCTCGCACACGTACAGCTTGGTGCGCCGCTCCTTGTAGGCGTAGCGCTGCGACACGCCGTGGATCTTCTTGAGGTGCGACTCGAGCGAGCAGCGCTGGGTGAACGCCTTGCTGCATGCCTCGCACTTGTACGGACGCACCCCTGGCACGTGCATGCGCGGGAGATGGAGGAAGCGAAAGCGTAAACCATTTTGGCATCGATAGTTTTTGCATTCAGACATTGTACGATTCCAAAACTGTCATTTTATTCCATTGTGACGAAAGGTGAAACGTGGAGATATCCGTCGTTAGAAATTATCTGGGAAACATGGCGGATTGTGTGTACTGAGGGTGCCTAGTGAAGGCAGACTTGAATGCAAATGGTGGAATTAAAATATGGTCCAGAACAGGTTGGAGTGCGTTTGGAAAGCCAAACTTGAAAAGGAAGGGTACCATATGAATTTGGCAAGAGAAAAAGAGGAACACGTGGATTAGAAAGCATACACGGGTTAATTTTAACTGTGTAGCATTAAATATGTGTGTGTGTGTGGTTATCTTATATAATTCTCGGTCGGGGTTGTCACTAATACACGCATCTGTAAAAATAAATTCAGGACCAGTTCAGGTTTTTCAGCACCAGTTCGGATATCACTTGCTACCAAAGTCAGCCACGGCCGGGAATCAAACTCCAAATGCCAGGTTCATAGTGTGGCGGTGTGTGCTATAAACTGTGCCACCACTCCCTGCTCATCTGATATATCCAGTTTTAATTCAATAACAAACCTAACTATATATAAAACAATCCTCCCCCCCCCCCCCAATCTCTGTCTCTTCCTACCGCCCACTCCACCCACATGAAGAAGCGAAGCATGTAAAGAGAAAAAGTAAACAAAAAGTCAGTTTTAAAGGGACCCTCACTTGATCGTATCTCCCAATCATAAACCACCATCATCATCATCAGCCGTGATTTATCCACTGCTTGCTGAAAGTCTCCCCAAGCTGTAGGCATCTGTCGTGGTCTTGCAATGCGACACACCATCTAGCTGCTGCACACGAGCTTATTTAATCGCTCCATCTCTATGATAAAGCCATCTCTGCATAGTTCCTCTCCCTTCCAGCGACGTGTTTGCCCAAGCCAACTTAGCTTATACTTTTACAAATGTACGTCTCTAGAATACATATACGATCTCTCTTCTCTCAGTGTAACTTTAAGCGCGCAACGTCTCCACGCTTCTTTGTTCGAATCACGTTGTCAGTGTCCACTTTTGTGAACCAAAAATCATGGCGGGTAAAACACTGCCTTCTTGGGCATATTGGTATAACATTTTCACAATTCAGTTCGCTTTTTATTGCGTGGGTTGTGGTGGTGAGATGTTCTCACCCTCACCAGCTATACCGGAGGTTGTGGGTTCGATCCTGACCCTGACGCCTGCATATTTGGAGCTTCCATGTGTCTCTCCCCGTGGTCACGTGTTATTTATCGCTTGGCCCTGAGGTTTTCCCCCCTCCATATTTAGAATCATCATTCACAAGTGAACTGCCACTTCATTGAGCTATCATTTGCGAGAGCCAGGACGCTTCGGAAAAAAAAGAGCTATATGGCTCAATAGGTCTTATTTGGTTTAAAAAAAAAAATTGGTAGGTGTTGCTGGCTAGTGGAGTGAGTGAGCATTGCCAAAAAGGGCACGACCTCCTACGCCCTCACCTGTGTGCGTGCGCACGTGGCGCTTCAGGTCGAAGGTGTCGTTGAAGCCCTTGCCGCAGAAGTTACACACGTGCTTCTTGATGTCACTGTGGCACTTCATGTGGCGGTTGAGCATGCGCACCAGGTGGAATGCCTTGCCGCACAGGTGGCACGACAGGTGACCCATGCCGCCGTCCTCCATCTAACGGGGTGGAAACCCGCGCGTGGCGAACCAAGGGGGTAAGAGTCAGGAGGACGTGAGGTTACAACCATTTCCGTGTCGTCCGTTGGCGGGGAAAAAATATTGCCGCTCGTCTTTAAAAGACAAAATAAATTTTATTTTCATTCCTGAATTACATTTCTTCTTACAGTAGCTATTCACCATTAAATAAGTGCATTGCGGACTCGTCGACATAATGGGGGGTTATATGACGTGATCATTTTCAGTGAATATAATTACGTAATTGAATGTGCCTTAGAAGTGTTATAGATTGTAGTTATTATAAATATTCACGGCAGCCTGAATTAGAGTGAACTGCAGCTGTATAACATTTGAGTAACCTGAATAAGTATAAAAAATACAGCAAAGCACACAACTAAAACAATAAACATGCTGAAAAACAAAGTTAAGGGAAACTGGCATAGCGATAATTGTCGTATTGTGATTTTTTTATGTTACAAGGTAAGGCCGACTAAATTATATAGTTATTTTTCAGACGCAACCTGGCCACAAATGATAGCTCAACGAAGTGGCTTATCGCGTGGAAATTTATAGCAGCTAAATACTCTCAATGCACGTTTCAAAATGTTCCGGGGAAAAAAAAAAACAGGACCCGGAGAAAAAAAATCCACGTGACCACGGGGTGGAACATGCAAACTCCAAATAGACAGCAAGCATCAGGGTCGGGATCGAACTGAAGACCTCCTGTATACCAGGCGAGGTAGTAAACATCTTATCGCCAATGTGGAAACCCCGTCAGAAAGTTGACGTAAAGCCAGAGCTCTGTGTGGGCCATGGGTCAGGGATTTGTGTTAGTTTGAACACATATGTGATATGAAGGGCAAATTGCCATTATATATGTCCCATTTAAGCACGCAGCGTTATTGACGAATGTGTCGTGGCTCTTTTGTCTCTTCTTAACTGTGCTTGTGCATCGCTGCCAACGCAGCAGCATCAGCAGCAGCGTCATTTGTGTGAAGTTTTAATCTCTCATCGGGCTACGCGAGACTCTCTTTGCTCATATTGCCTCAAGGAGGAATTCGACCTTCAAATCAGAATATGTATTTATACTGGAGGAATCCGGCGAGCTATAAATGATTGCACGTTGAGATTATAGCACATTTTGTGCTCTTTAGGTAAGATAATAAAGTAATTCAAAACAACTTATCGCACATCACTTTTTTGATAAACCCACTGCTGGATGGAGGCCTTCCCATGCCGCCTGGATCGTGGGTGGTTGCTTGACCGTCCACCCCGGCAATGGGAGTTCAAGTCCCAGCCAAGGCTAAAATCAGACGCATTGACCAGCGTGGTGAAGTATGGTCAAACAACCCCCGTAGTTTTGTGGCCGGGCCACCCAGCAGTGGATTCACGAACAGCTGTGCAGATTATAATTGGAGCAATGACAATTTATGAAGAGCACTTTATTTTTATGCACTGTATGTATAATAAAACCTGTTTGCGTGTGCAAAATTTATGGATGTTTAAAAAAATGTTGACTTTCTGGTTTTGACTTCCCTCTGATTATACAGTAGAACTGTAAAAAATAGTTTCTCTTATACACGAGAATGATTTTTTTTTAAGTATTGAAAAACGAGCTTAAATAGTGGAAAGCAGAAAATGGAAATGTGTAACGAACATAAAAGAATTACAAATGACCATAATAAGCGTACATTAGGATTTAACAGAAACATAATTTAAACAGACTTTAAAAGCCCAAAGCACCGTCAGAATTTAAAATGGGGATAAACATATAAATGTATATAGCGTAGAACATGAAACATACATTTAAAGAAAAAAAACCCAACAAAACGAAAAGAGAGAAATGTTTAGAGGTGAAGAAAATATTTTATTTTAGACTTATATATGTTTTAAAAAACGTATATATAAATAAACAACATTGCGGTTTTCCGTGTTCCATTCCTGTGCGTGTTTGCTCAAGGCCATGACGCAGCAACTGTCAAATCAGAGGCTTTACCCTTCAGATCCTCTAACAGCCGAGAATGCTATTTCACATTTACAACCAATATATCATAAAAAACAAAAAAAACGACTCAACTCATTCGTCAAAATAACACTGCGGCCCTAAAAGCGACAGAAGTAGATAAATAGGCGACGTTTCGGTCAATGACCATTGTCTTGTGAAGGGCCACTGCCCCAAAACGTCGCCTATTATATGATTATATGATGTGTCGTGTTGTTAATTGTACCTGAGCACGACTGTCAATGGAGCATCACCAAATGAAAGGTTTTACTTTAACATTTTGGAATATATGTGAAGTTGCATGAAGGTACTTTTGGTGTGCACCTTTCTCATAATTGCCCCGGTAACGTTGCACCAACGCTGGCCAAATGTTTCCAACCACATGCCAAAATTGGTCGAACGTTGGTTCAACGTTAGTCTAACGGTTCCAATCACTTTTCAACGTTGGATTAACGTTGGATCAACGGTTACAACCACGTGCCAACTTTGGGCCAACGTTAGTCCAAGGGTTCCAACCACATGCCAACGTTGGTCCAACGTTGGTCCAGCAATTCCAACCACATTTCAACGTCGGGCCAACGTTGGTCCAACGGTTCCAGCCACATTCCAACGTTGTCCCAACGTTGCACATTTACAGGGCAGAGAGAGAGAGAGCATCGCTGGCCTAAGACCCAGGCAATACACGCCAACGTTGGCGTACGTTTGGAAGCGTTAGCCCAAATTGGACCGAACGTTCTCAACACTTCCTGGGTTAAATCACCACCTCCATCGCCAACCACCACCGCAGCTCCGCTTAGCACGGTTGTCGACGTATGGTGCGAATGAAGTCCAACGTACATGTGTTTTGTTTACCATTTTTTTTTGTTTTCAACCATTGCACACGCAAAGACAAAGATCCCCCGTATCGCCCGAACAGACTGTTGGGGCAAGCGCTGTTAGCAAGCACCTATGATGCACCCAAGGTGCACGAGGTGGCCAGCACCACGCCCAACCGCCTTTGCCTGCCCGGCGACGACGATTTCACAGCACCGCACCAGGGTACTTAGTTGAGGCCGAGTCGATCTAGGGGAGTCCCATGACCGGTTCAGACAAATCGTCACCGGCGTTGGCCGTGAGCGAGGACTCGAACTCGTGCCGCCGGGTTCGTTGCACAGCGCGCTAAAACCGCAGCACCACCGCTCTCTCACACACAGACACACACGCACGCGCGCGCGCGCACCTTGGTGATGTCGCTCATCGGTGACCCAGCGCCACCGCTGCCTCCGCAGCTGCTGCTGCTGCCGCTGCAGACGTCTACGCCCCCGCCGCTGCTGCCGTAGTGCATGGGCAGCGCCGTCTCGGCCGTTTGCGAGCCCACGGGCCTCTCCACGGTCGGCGCCTCGTGCTCCCCAGCGTGCGACGGCGACCCCCCGCTCGGAGCGCCCCACGCCACGGGCGTCGGAGCGCTCGTCACCATCGCCTCTGCCCGGGGAAGAAACGATCACAGTTAGTGAGAGTGCGTGAGCGCGTGAGTTGTGTTCGTGTGGAACTTCTTTCGCGGCGTACGTAGCCAACCGTGCTAATTCGGAGGTGCGGCGGGGGGGGGGGGAGAGAAAGACGACTTAACAGAACATCTGAATATTTATTTTACGCTGGAGGAATCCGATGAGTTATACAGATTTTTTTTTTCCCACAGATGTTCAGTAGGGGCAGTTCAGAACCTCGCAACAACAAATAATATAAAAAAAAACACGACAGAAGTGCAAAGTATAGGAAAGGTACAAAAAAAATCACTTAAAAAAAATATATCATTTTTTTAATGTTTATCTTAAGAGGTAAAGTCCACTTAATTTCCACGCAACACGCTTGGGATTCTGGTAACTATTTCCCTCCGATGGGGATAATCGTGTGTGCTGTCCCCATTCTTCGGATGAACACCAAACACAATTGTGTAACTGCACAACTGGACGTATTCGAAATGTAGGCACGGTCCGAATGTTTTTCGTCGTGGGATTTTCGCGGATTGATTCTGGAAGATATGAGGCCACGTCCGTGCATCTTGCCGACAAATTAGCCACCACGTTTGCATCCGGTGACGTCACTTTTGTTGGCAAGCACAAGCGTTTACAAATATTGCGTAATCTTTCGCGACTGGACAATAATATGTAAAATCCGAAAACAATCCCAAGTTATCTTTAAACATCCGAAAATCCGAAACTTTTGGATCTGCAACTCTAATCCGATGTAGGTGGTGGGCAGCCGATTTAAAACCCCATTCACGGTGTGCTGATTTTAAAAGGTAATCAAACAATACAACTTTTAAAAAAAATATTATAACCCCCCCCAATATTTGCATGGAAATCAAAGTCAAAGTGATTTCACGCTGAGATGAGCATCGGAGGCAGTGAATTCCCCGCAAGTTCAACAACTTCAACGGCACTCAGGGTTTTCCACATCATATCCACGGTATGTGTTAACAACCTCCGGCTGCTCTTCATGACAGCGTTTAGCGGTGTGACACACGGTTCTTAGGGGGGTTGCATAAACAACAAAAACACACAGTGCGGGAAGTGATGCTATCTTGCGCTCTGTGGTGATGTGTTTCTAGTTGAAGATAACCAGCGTTGGAACGTAACTCTTTTAGCGGTAATAAAGTTTAGGGTTTTTTTGTTTTACTCTGAGCCAAGAGTCGGGGTTTAATACCTTTTCGGTAGCTGAAGGCGCGGCCCTGCAATTGACTTTACACGCGACACTGCTGGCGGAATGGCCTTCACTCGAGGGAGCTCTCTCTCTCTCTCTGTGGCATTTGGCCTAATTGTCAACTTCGGCCATGTGCTTCTCCGAAGAGGTGGGAGTACCCACAGTTTACCACACCGCACGCGAGCTTGCCGATCGACTGAGCGTGGTTGTTACCCATACTTCTGGGGAAAGCAAATCATATTATCTTTATGGATCAACAATGTGTTTCAGAAAGAAAAAAAACACCCATTGTCAATTAAGATTCCGCCTTTCACTGCTGGGTAAAATAATAAGACAGCTCTGAATATAAGCAACAACAAAAAAATCCAGCAATTTCATTCGTTCGTAAACTGTTCAAATATATCGAGTTGTAAATGTAACTGACAACAACCGTGTAATTTTTTTGTTTGTTTATGTACCACGCGCGCACGCACGCACGAACAGGGCCGTCCGAAACCAGTATGAAACTCTATTAAGCCTCTCCCAGACAGATAATGCCTCAACAGCATTATTCGTGTATATCCTGGGAGTGGAGCGGGCGATGCACCAGATTAAACCGGGCAGGTATGAGGGCGACAGATAGGAGAGCGGAGTGAGTGAGTGAGTGGGCAGATAAGTAGCGCTGGGTTGCCAACATGAGCGCGAGATACGGGCACGAACGGTCGCTGCTCAAGAGTGGAATCGTGCGCGTTATATAAGAAGCCAACCCCCGATGCGACGATGGTGCACATAGGGGTGGGTGGTGGGGGGGGTGGTTCAACATCACAGCCGTCACACGCGCCGTGTGCGTGTGGGACAAAGGAAAGAGGAGTTTCCTGGAAAGGGCGGGCGGGCCTTGGGAGGGGGTTCGAATGCCGCTGACACGGCACGCACGCACGCGCGTGCGCGCGCGCCCGACCGTGGCGACGGGCGCGCGCACGCGAGCCACGTGCCGTGCGTGACGCACGCGCGCACACACAGAGACACGCGCACACACAGAGACACGCGCACACACACACAGAGAGAGACACGCAAAGAGCCCCCCCCCCCGGGGGTGGCCTTTTAAACAGACTGTTGGGGCAAGTGCTGTTTAGCGAGCCGGGCACGGCACACGAGGGATTTGGTGGGTGGGCCATCACCACGCCCGGCCGTCTTTGTCTCCCCAGTGGCGAAGTTTACTACACACCGCACACCGCACTAGGTACTCAATTGAGCCCGAGTCGACCTATCGGTGGCGCAGGACTCGTGAACTTCAGCGCGAAGTTCAAAGTTTGTCTTACTCAGTGTAACTTTGTCTGTATTGTTTGGGGTGCGTGGCTGTTTACGTTATCCAGCGCATGCCACACTTAGGCATGGCTCCCCTCTCAATCTTTCCTTGCCGCTGCAAACCCGCTGTATCGCTCCGCCCGTTCAAGCTGCTGTTGCCGCCACAGCTGCTACCGATGCTGCTTACTCTTTCTGTAAACGTGTGTATGTTTGTTGAACTTCTTTCGCACCGTACGTTGCCAAGCGTGCTAATCGGAGGTGCGCAATGGCCCGGGTATCTGGCACTTCGAGCAAGTGCCTTTTTTTAAAAACTCAGAAATACATTTTTTAGATTTCGATTTAAAGCTTTCGTGACTGCAAGGATTCATCTTCTTTGGTTCTTTCGGTAAAGTCACCACGTAGAATGAGAATAAAATAATAAATTGATAAAATAAAATAACACAATAATATTCTCACGACGTTTCGGCCACAGCACAAGCGGCCTTCATCAGGTGAAGGGACGAGACTGTCACTCCAGCGCTGTCCTCCAGACAGTCTCGTCCCTTCACCTGATGAAGGCCGCTTGTGTTGTGGCCGAAACGTCGTGAGAATATTAATAATTTTTTTAGGTTTATCGCCGGAAAACATCTCAAATATTTATTTAGAAGAAACGAAAAAAACGGACACCAAGACACATCCCCCCCCCTCCACCCCGCCCCCCTTCACCCCGCCCCTCCGCCGCCCCCCATTCCAACACCGTTCATCCCTCCCCACTCTCGTCTGCTTCAGTGGTCACCGCTTTTCGTTTCATTTTTCTTTTCCTTTTCAATCCAAATATGCAAATCGATGGCTGACTCCACATTGGGCCCGTCATCGTCTCCCCGCCCACAAGGTCGATTAAGTGAGTACCACTTTGGAACAGTCGTTGTCCTACTATGGACAGACGCAACCCCTGCCATAGCAATGTGGAATTCCCACCGCTGGCTTCATGCTGTGGGACCCAGTTCACAGTTAGGCACCAGAGGCGTTTGATTTTTGTTTATTGATGCGGGAGATGAGATGCTTTCAGCTTGTTAAGTAAAGGATGATAAATTAGTTAGTATTAGATGTACACCTGCCTAACTAGACATACACCTGTCTAACTAGACATACACCTGTCTAACTAGACATACACCTGTCTAACTAGACATATACCTGCCTAACTAGACATACACCTGCCTAACTAGACATATACCTGCCTAACTAGACATACACCTAACTAGACATATACCTGCCTAACTAGACATACACCTGTCTAACTAGACATACACCTGCCTAACTAGACATACACCTGTCTAACTAGACATATACCTGCCTAACTAGACATACACCTGTCTAACTAGACATAAACCTGCCTAACTAGACATACACCTGCCTAACTAGACATACACCTGCCTAACTAGACATACACCTGCCTAACTAGACATACACCTACCAGGTGTATGCATGCCCGTGTTGAGATTTGTTTGTATACAAACCTGCTCAGCGTACATTGGTATGTGCTACCAGTCAGCGTTTGGCTTGAATCGCGTACGATTTGTATTTGCAATGCCTATGAGACGTGTACACTTCTGGTGAAATGAGAGCACAACTCATAATCACAGGTTATTTACAACGGCAGCGGTGAATGTAATTTTTTAGCATTATAATTAATATGTAAATTCGTGGTTGGGATGTATGTGTGTGTTGAACTTATTTCGCACGGTACGCAGCCCAGCGCGCTCATCGGCGGTGCGGGGAGGGGGCGGGGGAATGGATGACTGACGGACTAACTCATCTGTCTGAACAAAATACAATTTGCGAAAGATGATCACAATTCGCTTCGTAATCGGCTTCCTTTTCGGTTCGATCGTGTCGCTACAAGGTCAAATCATTAACGATGAACCTTCCAAATCTTTCGATTGATTTTGAACACTCCTCTGTTTGTCGTTGGCGTCGTTGTTGTTGTTGTTGCAAAACCCGACGAGCGAAACCAACAACAGGATAAAAATGCTCATCTGCGCAGGAAATCACTTTTGCACTATTTTCTCTTTCTCCCTCTCCCGCTCTCGCTGCGTCAATGAAACCGTCGACGATCAAAGCGCGCGTCGTTCCGCACAGCGCCAAGATCGAAGGGAGTGTTCGTTGTGGGCGAGGTGGCCGCGGGGGAGCGGTGGTGCAGCGGTTAGCGCGCTGCCATACGAACCCCCAGCCGCCCCGGGGGTTCGATTTCACGCTCACGGCCGCCAACACCAGCGACGATTGCCCGAACCGGGTTCTGGGCCTCTCCTAGGTCGACTCAGACTCACACGAGTACTTGGTGCGGTGTTGCAAAATCATCGTCACTGGGGAGACAAAGGCGGTCGGGCGTGGTGCTGGCCACCTCGTGTACCGTGGCGGCCTTCATAGGTGCTTGCTAACAGCACTTGCCCCAACAGCCTGTTACAGGCTGTACGGGAGATCTTTGTCATTGTGAGTTACCGGTTGGGTGACCCCACCCCCCTTCCTCCCCACAGTGTCTGAACTTGACCCGCAGCAGCAACGTTAACCACACGCGGATTCAGCGTTGCCTGCACTCCTTAGCCCAATTACCGAAGCAAAGGGTGCACGTTTCTGAACAGCCACGCCCCACCACCACCACCACCACAACTAACACCACTCCCTGCCTCTGTCCAACAGTCGTTTAGCAGGTCACGTGTGGTGGGGGTGCAGTGTGGCCAATCTCCTCCACGACGTCCGGCCAGTGTGGAAGAGTAGGCCAAAGTGCTCTATGCGAGAGGGGTAAAACTCTCCAATGGCCCTCGATGCATTTCGAGCGGGAGGCCCTTTCCGCCAGCAGTGGCGTGGGCAGGAAATTTCAGGGCTGCACTTTTTACGTGTTACTTTACCTTGTCTGAATGTGTGTGTGTGTGTGACACGGTTAAGGGTTTCCACTGCCTCTTGCGTCCACAATCAAGGTTATTTTGGATTAGATCGCATGGATATAAATGTGTTGTTAACCCACGACCTACCCGACACAGCCAATTAGTAAGGCTTGTCACCAAAATAAAAACGTGGCAATTGGCTACGACTTCAGCAGACCCGGAGTGTTGGAGAGTAAAATCCCACAACATTTACAATTTTAGTCCTGGTGATTACAACAACAACCAGCTTCATCAGGCGATTTGCCAAGATTGTTGAAGAAGTCGTGGCTGTTTTCGCTCTTGCGTGGGTGTGAATGCTCATCCACAGCACGGTATTTATATTTAGAGAGAGAGAGGGAGACGTCACCAAATGTGGCAACTGCGTGCTGCCACGTCGCAGCGAGTCGGAGCGACGAGGTGTCGCTTCCAACGTGCGCTGCCGTCTCTCCCAGCCGGGGGTGTTTCGTAATCGGCGATGCTCAGCGTTGCGTGTCAACAGCGTCTAATCCGTAACGTTGAAAGAGGCGAGAGTCGTGATGAATGTGGGCTTGAAAGTCAGCTGATTTACATGCGATTGAGGATTGAAATTCCTAACGTCGCTCCGGTCAGTGATGCTGTCGGTGGAATAATTTGATCCAAAGCGGGCGTTGTGGAGGTGGGGGGGGGGGGGGTGAATGAGTGGAAGAGCGGTGGCGCAGTGGTTAGCGCCACTAACATTAGAACCGATCCTGACACCACGCCACCACATTTAGCAACCTGCACTGACCAAAACGGTGAAGTATGGTCAACCCCCCCCCCCCACCCCCGTGCGCCCACCTCTGCACACCTCCCCACCCATGACCGACGTGGAATTGGGGTCACTTAGTGGATTGACAACGGCTGGAATATAACTGTACAATATAATTATATCCCCCTACCCCCACCACCTCCATAATTTAATGTACGTATGTTGAACTTCTTTCGCACCGTACGTAGCCAACCGTGCTAATCGGAGGTGCGGCATTTTTTTTTGGGGGGGGGGAAGAAATCACGAATTTCTTTAGAGTCGAGACTTCATCGAGATAAACAAAAAGTGCTCTTTCTATTTTGTTTAGTTTTTTTTTGCGAATGTGTTACCTGGTTTAAATAAAATGCCACGCCACTGACAGACCCTGCAAAGTCACGGCGCTGTGCCCTGCGAACAAACTTCCTCAAACTTTCGGGGCGAAGTCAGCGATAGCTCGGATTCTATCGCCCTCTGCCGTTTAAGATGTGACAGAAGAAGAGGACTTCGAAATAAAACCTTGCATTGCTTTGGCCAATAAAATGCTGCAGCGCAACCCGTACAGAATAATCTAGTGCTGTTGTAATGGTCACAACGACCTTTATTTACTCATGAGAGTATTCCCGAGTCTCAAGGCATTGCTATTTTATTATCAAGAGGGCCCTGCTACATTGGGATGCTTGGCTAACTCCATGAATGACCAGATTTGCTCCGTGTGGAAAGAACAACCGGGAACCCCCGGAGAAAAGCCACCACGCACACGAGGGGAGCGACACTGGAAGCGCCGCACGGATAGATTCAAGGATCCGTAGCTGTGCTGCCATCTCCTGGACACCCCGCGGACATTGATCGCGTCGCTCTTTTCCCGCTGTCCGGCAATTATTGAGACGGATGTCGACTGGGCAAAGGCGACGAGTAAATGACTCGAACCTTTACAATGGCAGTGGCCACGTGGCTCAGATGTGAAACCGCTGAGCGCTGGGGCGCCACAGCTCAGCGCCTGGGTTCGAATCGAGGTTTCAGTCGCGCCGTGATTAAACCCGAGTTTTGAGGAGTAGAGAGAGAGAGAGAGCTCAGTCACACAAATAAATAAAGAAACATCTCGCCACAAATACAGGTGACGTCTCGCCGAATTGAGCGGAGGTATTGTTCGACGCGAGGGGTCGCGTTCGCAATGTTGCGAGATTTCCGAATGGATTGTTTGTCTTCGTGAAAAGACTATTGTCGATTGCGCTTTCCGGAATAATCACGAAAGCAATGGTGAGAATTACCCTGCGTGTCATACAACACCGACAACAGCAGCAGCAGCAACTGCGCATCCATGCGGTGGAATAAACGGGCGCGGAGCAGATGCACGCACGTGAGCACACGATGCGCGTTGCGTGTTGTGGAACACTCGGCGGAGGAGCTCACTGACACCGCGCAGTGATAACAGGCGAATTCGCGACCATCTGGATGCATGGCCACTGGTAGTAAAACGCGATCGCTCGCATTAATTGCTTATTCAAATCGTCAGCCAGTGCTTTCGTAATCCAGCGCGACACAAATCCTTCATTAGTTATACATTCTTGGTTCTTTCGGTAAAGTCACGTAGAAGGGAAATAATAAAAGAATACGGTGATAACATTCTACAACAATGTACGTTCGCAAATGTCACAGCAAATTAAAATGGTCCCACATTAGCGCAGATGACGTACCCTACTTTTAATAACTAATGTAATCGGGGTGACTGCTATTGCTGCCAAAAGATGATTGAACCAGGTAAGGCAGGTGAGACGATTGGAGTGAGGCAAGTGAGTATACCTGGGGTGTAGCATATGCCAGTGCAACAGGTGAGTGATACCGGTAAGTTTACCTGTGCTGAGACAGGTGGAGTGAGACAGGTGAGTTACTTTTGACGCAAATAGTTGACACAGGTGAAGCAGGTGAGTCAGGTAAAGGGGGACAGGTGAGGTGCGTACCTGTGCTGTAGTTATACCAGTAGACACAGTGAGCCAGGCGAGTGAGACAGGTGAGTTACCTGGGATGTAGTGATCTGCTCGCTCGTCATCGCGCAGCTGACTCCACGCTTGTCGGCTGCCCTGGCTGGGGCAGCGTTTCTTGACGAGGAAGGCTCTGGGCATGACTGACCTCTCTCTATCACCTCCAACGCCGTAGATTGAAAGTAGAAGGAGGATAAGAAAAAAAATAATACAAGAACTGTACTCAAACTAAACAGGCAGACGCTCAGTCGATTGTAACGCGCGTGCGTGCGTATTCTCTGTCTACGCGTGTCTGAGCGCACGACCGGCTGTCTTTCTGTGTATCTCAGTCGGTGTGTTCATAACAGTCTCTGGTGTAACAGTCTTCTTGCTCTGCTCCACAAGCCTGTTATCGTCGAGCTGGCTGTGCTGGTTTGCTCGCGACCATTCCGTTAGGGAGCTCTTGTTCAAACCCGTGTCGCTATATATACCTGCACGCGCACGCACGCACGCACGCGCACGCTCACCTGTGCGCGCCAGAGCGCACGCGCAGTCGGTGGGATAACGGTGACACCTGTCCGACCGGATCGCGTCAGCTGATCGGGCGCAACCGCACCCTCGCGTGGGGTCCCCACCCCGAACTCACTCACCTGGCTCAGACTGCCGGCCCGAACTCACCTGGCTCGCTATAAACTTCACCTGTCCCACCACAACTCACCTAGCTCGCTATACACTTAACCTGTCCAACCACAACTCACCTAGCTCGCTATACACTTAACCTGTCCCACCACAACTCACCTAGCTCGCTATAAACTTCACCTGTCTCACCACAACTCACCTAGCTCGCTATACATTTTACCTGTCCCACCACAACTCACCTAGCTCGCTATACACTTAACCTGTCCAACCACAACTCACCTAGCTCGCTATACACTTAACCTGTCTCACCACAACTCACCTAGCTCGCTATAAACTTCACCTGTCTCACCACAACTCACCTAGCTCGCTATAAACTTCACATGTCTCACCACAACTCACCTAGCTCGCTATAAACTTCACCTGTCTCACCACAACTCACCTAGCTCGCTATACACTTAACCTGTCTCACCACAACTCACCTAGCTCGCTATAAACTTCACCTGTCTCACCACAACTCACCTAACTCGCTATAAACTTCACCTGTCTCACCACAACTCACCTAGCTCGCTATAAACTTCACCTGTCTCACCACAACTCACCTAGCTCGCTATCAACTTCACCTGTCTCTCCACAACTCACCTAGCTTGCTATAAACTTCACCTGTCCCACCACAACTCACCTCGCTCGCTATAAACTTCACCTGTCTCACCACAACTCACCTGGCTCGCTATACACTTAACCTGTCTCACCACAACTCACCTAGCTCGCTATAAACTTCACCTGTCTCACCACAACTCACCTAGCTCGCTATAAACTTCACCTGTCTCACCACAACTCACCTAGCTCGCTATAAACTTCACCTGTCTCACCACAACTCACCTAGCTCGCTATAAACTTCACCTGTCTCACCACAACTCACCTAGCTCGCTATAAACTTCACCTGTCTCACCACAACTCACCTGTCTCACCACAACTCACCTAGCTCGCTATAAACTTCACCTGTCCCACCACAACTCACCTAGCTCGCTATAAACTTCACCTGTCCCACCACAACTCACCTAGCTCGCTATAAACTTCACCTGTCTCACCACAACTCACCTAACTCGCTATAAACTTCACCTGTCTCACCACAACTCACCTAGCTCGCTATACACTTAACCTGTCTCACCACAACTCACCTAGCTCGCTATAAACTTCACCTGTCTCACCACAACTCACCTAACTCGCTATAAACTTCACCTGTCTCACCACAACTCACCTAGCTCGCTATAAACTTCACCTGTCTCACCACAACTCACCTAGCTCGCTATCAACTTCACCTGTCTCTCCACAACTCACCTAGCTTGCTATAAACTTCACCTGTCCCACCACAACTCACCTCGCTCGCTATAAACTTCACCTGTCTCACCACAACTCACCTGGCTCGCTATACACTTAACCTGTCTCACCACAACTCACCTAGCTCGCTATAAACTTCACCTGTCTCACCACAACTCACCTAGCTCGCTATAAACTTCACCTGTCTCACCACAACTCACCTAGCTTGCTATACACTTAACCTGTCCCACCACAACTCACCTAGCTCGCTATAAACTTCACCTGTCTCACCACAACTCACCTAGCTTGCTATACACTTCACCTGTCTCTCCACAACTCACCTGGCTCAGACTGCCGGGCCGAACTCACCTGGCTCGCTATAAACGTCACCTGTCTCACCGCAAGTTTTCCACAACTTACCTGGTTCACCACACGCTCACCTGGCTAATCATACAATCCCAAACTCACCTTTCTCACACCAATCTCACCCGTCTCCCCAAATGTGCCCGTCTCATTCGCCGCACCGATATCGCTGACCTATCACCGACCTAATTTCCCTAACCCAAACTCACCTACCTCACTCACTCCCCCCTCACCACTACAACTTGCCTGTCACTACACTCACTCTCACCGTCCGTCACTCTCACCTCACCTGTTCCCTCTCACCTCATCCTAACCCCCCCAACCTCTCACCTGTACAGCTTTTAATTTGCTCACACGCTCTCGCACAGGCGCAGAACACCCGCGGGGCTCCCTGCGTTCGCACAGCACGGACACATCCATCACGGTACAGTAGCTTATTCTGACCAGTTAAGCCTTCAGCAACGCTGCTTGGAAGTGCTGTTAGCGAGCACCTATTGAAGGCCAGGAGTGGCGTGGGCAGGGAAACCAGAACACGCACAAAGCTGCCTTTGTCTCCCCCAGTGCTGGAAACCAGAAAACCAGACCACGCAAAAGCTACTCCGGTGCAGATTTTTTTTTTTGGGGAGGGAGAAATTAGTTTAAAAAAAAATCTACACTACACCAGATACTAATTTTAAGGCTGAGTCGACCTAGCGGAGGCCCGACCAGGACTGATTTAGATATCTTCACGCCGTGTCGGTGAAGCGGATTGTTTGACCATACTTCACCACTTATAGTCAGTGCGGGGCGATGAAGTGGGAAAGGGCAGGAGCCGTTCGGGCATCACTCGCCACTGACGTCAGCCGTGGACGGGGATACAACTTAAGATTGCTGGGGTTCGTAGCGCAGTGCGGTAACTACTGCGCCATCGCTCCGCCAACACGTATCACACGCACACACACATATATACGGCGATACGTCTCCCCCTTCTGCGTCGTTTCGCAAATACGTCGTCACTTTATTAACACCACCGCCAGCTGATTTGCGTCGCCTCGACCACTCCCCCCACCCCACCCCACATTTAACGTCGCTGACAGAGTCGTCGTTGTCCGTCCATTCTCGTTATCCGTCGCATCACATACCTTCGCCTCCACCACCCACGACGACCCTGTCCATCGCTTCGATTGAACGTCGCTTCGATATTCGTCGTCGCACCTTTCAGGATCGCGTCCCCGACGTAAACCGGGATCCGTGATACAGGTGTTTTTGTTGGGTTAGATCGCGTAAATAATATTAATGTGTCGTTAAAACCCGCCACCATCCGACACAGCCAGCTAGTAAGGGTTGTCACGTAAACAGCACGTGGCCAATTCGTCACTAGTACAGGACACACCGGTGTGTTGGAGAGCAAAGCCACAACATTTACAATCTTGAGTACGACGTTTCGCCAGTAATTACAACTAGCTTCATCAGGTAACAGACAAATCTGGCTGTCACCTGATGATGCTAGTTGTAGATATAACCCAAAAAAAACCATGTACTTGGGCGGTGAATGTTTGTCATTGGAGGTTTTCAGTGGTCCAGAACAAAGAAGACGTCAGATTTTGAAATCTGTGAACCGGGATATTACTCTATATTTTTATATATATTTAGATGTTCTTTGAACAACGTGGTGAATATAGCGGCCTCTAGCGGCTGCAGGGGTCACCTGCATTTCCGATTAGCACGGTTGGCTGCGCACGGTGCGAAAGAAATTTAACAAACGGTACATCCACCTGGATTCATTGCATACCAATTGATTCCTACACACGCGCGCGCGATTGAATGACGGCATCGTGAGCTTAACGATAACATAATTCGATTTTAAATCGACTGACCGATGCACTAAAGGTCCCGCTAGACTAAAGTTACTGAACGAGATCGTGGGGATCAGGAAATGCGCTCCTTTTCCTGGACGTTACCAGATACTCATCGCTCCATCTCCGCCACGGTGATCCTCTTAGACACATCCTCTCCTCTCGTGTTGGTGTGGGGTGTGATGCGGTGTGGGTAGCGGTAGTGTAGCGGTTTGATTCTCGCTCACGGCCAACACCAGTGACGATTATCTGAACCGGTCCTGGGCCTCTCCTAGGTCGACTCAATCTAAAATGAATAACTGGTGCGGTGTGTAAACATCGCCACTAGGGAGACAAAGGCGGCCAGGCGTGGTGTTGGCGACCCACTCCCTCGTGTGCTGTGCCGGCCTTCATAGGTGCTCGCTAACAGCACTTGCCCCAACAGTCTGTTATGGCTATACTGTGGAATTTTTGTCTTTGGGTGTCATGCATCCAGTGCGTACATTCCACATTCTCATGGCCGGGAGCCGCTCTGTCCGCAGGTTAACCCGGTGTTCATGTTAAGATGCCCCCCCCTCCCCGCCTCCTCCAATTATATACGGTCTAACCATGTGTTACATTATTATCATCAACTAACTAAAACTATGTTGTAGGAACTTTCCAAATACGCGCTTGTCCTCGGAAGCATTTAATTTAATTAGCAACAATAAGTGTAGACATCGCGCCATCTGCTTTCTATCGCTGGGTTTTTGTTAAATCTTTTACCGCTGATTTTGTTGGGACAATGCGTTTTTTTTTTCTAAATCGATTTTGTAAGTTGTCTATTGGGTGAGTACCTGGTGCGGTGTGTAGTAAACATCGCCACTGGGGAGACAAAGGCGGTGGGGCGTTGTGCTGGTCACCCACCTCCTCGTGTACCGTGCCGGCCTTCGTAGGCGCGACTCGCTAACAGCAACTTCCTTCGGCAGTCCGTTAAGGCGACACGGGAGATATTTGTCTTCGGTGTTACCCGAGGCACTCGTCGATCTGTGCACTCATTCCTCGCCTGGTACTCAGGACGTTTCGATCGCAACACAAGCGAACTTCATCAGGTGGGACAACCACAGCAGGAAAATGCTGAAGTCGTCGTGATTTCTTTGATTTTATTTCTACCCACGTGACTTTACCGAAATAACCCAAGAGTATGGGATTCCTACAGTCACGGAAGCTTCAAATCAAGATTGGTACTCGGGAGTTCGTAGGTTCGACCCTGCACCCTGACGATGCCTGCTGTTGTTATTTGTGGTGTAGTCCGCGTGTCCTCTCTCTCCCCGTGGTGGCCATGTGGATTGTTCTCTGGGTTCCTCCGGGTTTTCCCTCCCCCCTCCCTCCGCATTTAAAAACAATTGGCCGCTACTATAAATGTCCACGTGCGGTGGTGGTGATGATGATGATGATTA